CGTGGGACATCAAATTTATATAGATACATGGTCTACAACGTGGGACATCAAATTTATATAGATACACGGTCTACAACGTGGGACATCAAATTTATATAGATACACGGTCTACCACGTGGGACATCAAATTTATATAGATACATGGTCTACAACGTGGGACATCAAATTTATATAGGTACATGGTCTACAACGTGGGACATCAAATTTATATAGGTACATGGTCTACAACGTGGGACATCAAATTTATATAGGTACGTGGTCTACAACGTGGGACATCAAATTTATATAGATACGTGGTCTACAACGTGGGACATCAAATTTATATAGATACGTGGTCTACAACGTGGGACATCAAATTTATATAGATACATGGTCTACAACGTGGGACATCAAATTTATATAGATACGTGGTCTACAACGTGGGACATCAAATTTATATAGATACGTGGTCTACAACGTGGGACATCAAATTTATATAGATACGTGGTCTACAACGTGGGACATCAAATTTATATAGATACGTGGTCTACAACGTGGGACATCAAATTTATATAGATACACGGTCTACAACGTGGGACATCAAATTTATATAGGTACATGGTCTACAACGTGGGACATCAAATTTATATAGATACATGGTCTACAACGTGGGACATCAAATTTATATAGGTACATGGTCTACAACGTGGGACATCAAATTTATATAGATACGTGGTCTACAACGTGGGACATCAAATGTATATAGATACATGGTCTACAACGTGGGACATCAAATTTATATAGATACACGGTCTACAACGTGGGACATCAAATTTATATAGATACATGGTCTACAACGTGGGACATCAAATTTATATAGATACACGGTCTACAACGTGGGACATCAAATTTATATAGATACGTGGTCTACAACGTGGGACATCAAATTTATATAGATACGTGGTCTACAACGTGGGACATCAAATTTATATAGATACACGGTCTACAACGTGGGACATCAAATTTATATAGATACATGGTCTACAACGTGGGACATCAAATTTATATAGATACATGGTCTACAACGTGGGACATCAAATTTATATAGATACATGGTCTACAACAAGATTATTGTATTATTATTGTTATTACATTCTTATCGGCCCGTCAACGCATAAAAGGTCATTAGGGCCATCAACCTGTATGTAAGACAGAATCACCTTAATTACAACTAAAGAAAAAGGGATGTAGCATTTCCTAGTTTTATATTCAATATTAATCTGTAGAGCGTGTATCATATAAAAAAAACTGGTTTGTTTCTGTCCGAAGATGAAACATGGCATCACCATGATATCTATACCGACGCATTTTAAACATATAGATTGTACTGACGTAAGTAAAATAGAAAACGTAATCTGTACTATATTCGACCTATATTGGGTTGTTATGGGATCAGGTTTTAATAACTGTTCTCACAAAGAGGCTACTTTTCTTGAATCTAATTAAAAAGAAGCAGCTCATTACTACACCATGTTAAAGAACCTAGTAATACAAACGTCATGGTGAATTTTAATTGTGAAAATAAGAAAGACTGTATACACGTGACAGGAACAGAAAATTATTTCACATAGATATTACTTAACCGGTCTGTTTTACAATTATGCTCAGTTTCATCCTCAAGATTAGCAACTAAAGTGTTATTTGTCTATTATATATTTCCCGATCAACTCTACCTTTTAAACTGGAGTCAGAGTGCTATACAGGACCATACATTATGGAAGGGAGGCAACTCGAAAAAATAATCCACACACACACACACACACACACGAGCATTTTCCGTTGTAGAAGGTATAAATGATTTTCCATATAAGAAACCTCTTCAGTGGTATAAAACATGAAATGTTTTTAGCGTGTTCCGTTACAGTGTTAAAGCGATGTGGACATGGTGAGGTCGCGGGTGGGGTGGTGGGGGTTGGGGAATAATCGATATCGAGGTGTACAAGTGAGTTTGTATGGTATATTCAATTTCATTCTAATCTTATTACTATTCTATGCCATAATTTATTCTTCAACATATACTAATAAACAATATCAAATACCTATCATTATAAGAAATTATTTATAATTCCAGCAAGCCAAGCTCTCATCAGTTCTAATAACCATTTTTTGAATAACTAATAGTTCACATGAATGTAGGAATCCTCATATTTTTGTATATTAATAAGATTTTAACCATCCAAGATATCAGAATTAATTCATTATGTGTATGAAAGGATGTCCTTGCTTGCTTATTCATTTTCAGCTACACTACATTTTTAAACAGATTTCTAAACGGGCCGTAGTCAATTCAAGATTATGGTTACATATAAAAACTTTAGTGAATAATGGGTAGTTTTTTAAGCTATGGTATACACATGTCAGATCAGTTTAGTTTCTTATATGACTTGCAATGTTGAGGAACGATAGTTCAATCATCTCTAACAGCACGTGTAAATATATACAAGACAACAATTAGTAAACTAAAATACATGAAGCTTAACAAAGGCGAAACTGTCACGTGACTATTTGCGTTTACGGCCATATCAGTGGTAATGAAGACAAATGAGAGGTCCTTCCCCGCTTTTGCAGGTGTTTTCTGAAACTTATCAGTTTCACCTGCTGCAGTATAACATTAAACATCAATGTACCCTTACATAATTTACAATACTAAACTTGTTTTTATTAGAACTAGCTTTGTTACACTTTGAGGATCATCTGACATTCCATTTTAAATACTTAATAAAGTATTCCTGATAGCGATGGTATTAAGGGACAGGACTAAATCAACATTATCTGTATACAGTATGAAATCTTATCATACGACTAGCCAACAAAACACACGCGTTTATATAAAGATATCATCAGGGACTAGGAAATTTTTTTGTTTTGTGTTGTTTTGTATTGTTTTGTATTTGATTTTGGTTGTTTTTTTTTAATTTCATCTAATTTTATTTATTTAAAAAAAAATATCTTTATTTTCTAACTTATTCATTTTCTTATATATTGTTCCATTTCTATTTTTATTTATTTATTTTTAAATCTATACTGTAAAGGTCCGATTATGGATGTTCATACCGTCGTGGTTTACCCAACGCTTGAAGCAATAGAGACGTATTTTTCCTGAAACACGAGACGGGGTTCCATTTACTTGAACTTCAACATATTTTTATCGGCGATTTCATCCATACACAGTGACATTGTAAAATTATCTGATAAATTTTTTTTATAATATTTGTGACAACTTACACGGCGCAGAACACCGAGTTCAAATTGATTTTATAAAGTGGATGTTATGATTTAATTACAAGAGTATAATTAACCATTCATCTTATTGGTAGTAGGTTCCTCTTAACTGTGTGTTTATCAGCCGTGTTATCTACAACAATTTCACACAAAGTTGTCTGACTTGATGTTTTCCATATCGACAGCGGAGAGGGATGAGGAAAGGGAATTAATGAAGAGTTACGAGAAGTGTTGGTCGATAAGTTTTCTGTGGAATTATACAGTGACATGTCATCTATTGCAAAACCTAGGGTCAATACGGAACTCTGTGTATTAAAAATACAAGTTGATGAAAGTTATGGGGAAATTTTACGGTTACCATAGTGATCTCATTAAGAAATGCTCTATTTCGTTGTTGTATACGTTTTTGTCATTTGAGGACGTAACTTATTTGTATTGACCAAGGTTTACATGGTGGATATCGCTGATGAAGGAGAAGACGCTTACTCTTCCGGAACACCTGGTCTTATTATCTTTGTAATTTCTCTTTTGGGTATATTTTGCCCTAGTTTTACTGAATTTGAGTTTGGATTATGATTATGTTGACATATTGGTATTTTCTTGATTTTTGTTTGTTTGTTTGTTTGTTTGTTTGTATACATATATAAATATAAAAAAATAATTGTTATTTGGCATTTTGCTTGCCATGTTAATATTTTGTCTATATATGTATTAGTGTGATTTCTTTGCCATTATTCAGATGTTATTGACATGACATTAATATATTTTACAAGTTTTAGAATTTATTCAGCAATTTTGACATTAAGTTTGATTTTGAAGACTGTTGCAAACTGTTAATTCATATCTCACTATCGTTTTATAAATCTTAATGTGATATTTGTGTTTGTATTCTGTTGTCAATTTTAAGGATGGGTACGTTATATCCGTCAAGTGTCAAGAGAAATCCTACTGCCCCATACATTTGTAACATGCCATCAGATGTTAATTACACATGATATAAAGAAGACAATTGTTAACCACTCTAGATAATACTGTTAATCATTTAGATTTCGGGGATACTTTATTTCGGGAACTTACCTCTTCAGACATATTCGTGAATACTTTATTTCGCGAACGCTGATCTAGAAATGACTTTAAATTCGCGAACGATGAATTATTAGAGACCTTGATTCTTAGACGAAAACATCGGTTACCAACTCATCATTGACGCAATCCAGAGTTTTTTGTACAAAGAATCGCGATGAATTTGTGATTAACTCTCGTCGCATTTTAACTCGCAAATAAATTCCTCGTGAAATATAAGTGATTTGTAAGAACTAAACAATATGATTTATATTTTTTCAGCATATCTTTTGTTCGTGTTCCGTTATAGTATACCTTGTTCTAATTTGAGAACGTGACATTACTTACTTGGATTGACCCAGGTTTACATGGCGGGTGTAGTCGATGAGGCAGACGACGCTTACTTTTTCGGAACACCTAGTCTGATTCTCTTTGTACTGTTTCAGGAATCTCTGTGTAAATGTTTCTTTTGTTCATATTTCGCCCTAGTTTTATGGAATTTGAGTTACGGTTATGATGATGTTGCCATGTTGGTATTTTCTTGTTTTTTTTTTTTCAGATTGTAAAAATGTCTCATTATGCGTTGTTTTTTTTAATCACAATGATAAATCATTACAGTGAAGTGACGTAAATCTTCATTGTTTCCATGTAAGTTACAAGACCTGGTCCATTATAGCCTACCCTATAACAGAAATGTGAGGATAGAACTGTGGAATGTCGGAGGAAAACACAGTTATACCGTCGTGATAAAACTTCATGAAATCTGCTTCCGCTGGATGGCCTTTGTATGGTACAAATAGTGCACAGTGAGAATCAGAACAAGCATTCTGCCAGGTTAGAAGATAGGCTAGTTTGTGTTGGAAGTGGCCACTCTTTATAACGTTCAACACTTTATCGGTCCAGAACGTGTGTTGAGTGTCGATTCCATTGTCGCTGATACCGATTTCGGTCATTGCGGCAAGTTTCCCTTTAGAGCGAGCGTAGGATGTCACTAGTTGTAGGTACTGAGTCAGAGTGGGTGGACTGGAAGTATTGTTGGAATAGTAAAAGTCCATTCCAAGAATGTCGACGTAATTATCTCCAGGGTAGTATTTCATATAATCCGAGTTGTGGTGCAGCTTCCCGGGAGAGTATGCATACAGCACATTGTGGACTCTTTTCTGGTCTCGGAGGTATTCCACTACAAACCGGTACAATAGTATGTATTCATGTGCGGTATTTTGAGTACGAGAGTTCGTTCCCCACCAAAACCAGTTGCCATTCATTTCATGGAAAGGTCGGAATATGACAGGAATCTTCTTCCCCTGGGAATCGTAAAGATGATTTAGCCAGTCAGCAACAACGTCTAGCTGTCGTCTGTATCACAAAGTACAATGTTTTGATAATTATATTAAAATGGTTTCAATTAAAATATTTTACAATTAAACAATCGACGCTCATTAGAAATATTTGAATTTTCTCTTGATAAATCCGAAACTAAATGTCTGATAGTAAACACCATTACGCGGGTGACTATCATGACGTCATAGTTATTGACATATTGACGCAGTAATTTGTTATTGTACACTTAGTTTGTTTCATATGAAGCAGACTCGTAGTCTCAACACATGGAAATAGTAAATCTAGATGGGAACTGTGACTTGTGTCACGGAAACGTCACACGTACAGGCCCGAGTTTGTTATTAGATCAGTTATTAGAATGTTCAGAAAGCAACAATAAGTTTGTGGAGTGTAATACTGCTCGTTGACGTGTTCAGAACGATACTGATGCACAAAAAATCTCGAATGTAATGTCTGTATTTACTCGAATGTAATATCTGTATTTGTCTGTATTAACTCGGATGTGACGTCTGTATTTACTCGGATATGACGTCTGTATTTACTCGAATGTGATGTCTGTATTTACTTGGATGTGACGTCTGTATTTACTCGAATGTGATGTCTGTATTTATTCGAATGTAATGTCTGTATTTACTCGAATGTGACGTCTATATTTACTCGAATGTGACGTCTGTATTTATTCGAATGTAATGTCTGTATTTACTCGAATGTGACGTCTGTATTTACTCGAATGTGACGTCTGTATTTACTCGGATATGACGTCTGTATTTACTCGAATGTGATGTCTGTATTTACTTGGATGTGACGTCTGTATTTACTCGAATGTGATGTCTGTATTTATTCGAATGTAATGTCTGTATTTACTCGAATGTGACGTCTATATTTACTCGAATGTGACGTCTGTATTTATTCGAATGTAATGTCTGTATTTACTCGAATGTGACGTCTGTATTTACTCGAATGTGACGTCTGTATTTACTCGGATATGACGTCTGTATTTACTCGAATGTGATGTCTGTATTTACTTGGATGTGACGTCTGTATTTACTCGAATGTGATGTCTGTATTTATTCGAATGTAATGTCTGTATTTACTCGAATGTGACGTCTATATTTACTCGAATGTGACGTCTGTATTTATTCGAATGTAATGTCTGTATTTACTCGAATGTGACGTCTGTATTTACTCGAATGTGACGTCTGTATTTACTCGAATGTGATGTCTGTATTTACTCGAATGTAATGTCTGTATTTACTCAAATCTAATGTCTGTATTTACTCAAATCTAATGTCTGTATTTACTTGAATGTGATGTCTGTATTTACTCGAATGCACCAATACTGTGTATGAGCTCGGATATCATGTTGTTAAATGAGTTTATTAGAGTGACCAAGATGTCCATGACAGGTGTTGTCGATGAAGCAGAAGCCGCTTGCTCTTCCGGAACACTTGCTACTATTCTTCTTGTACGTTTTCATTTATGTTTGTTTGATCCATCCTTTTATTCATATTTTTTCTGCGTTTCAATCGATTGTTACTTTTGATTAAGAATTCGTTATAAGTTGTTATTATCTTGTTTCTATTCATTTTGTCCTGTCTCAAGGAATGAGCCCTCTTACTAAAATATGTTTGGGAATGAGTGTGATGTCGTAGATATCAGTTTTTTCTGTATTGAGAAGCTAGACATCTGTAGCATGCCATGTTTTTTTCCCCTTCTTCTCAACTCCTTATTGACCCTGATCAGAATATATAACTAATTTTTAAAAGATACGGATAGAATCCAGAATTATTAATTGCCGATTGGCTTACCTCCCTTACCACAGCATTATCTCCATATCACCCATTCTAAAGCATGTATACAACAGTGATCACATTTTTGTACTTCTTGAATGTTTCTCAAATATTCATATTGGTGTCCACTAATGCACAAGGAATATCAACAATAATCATTCATATTGATGGCTAAGATGTACAAAAACCTGCAAATGTAACAGACATGTGTTTCAAACCCACAGTAAGGATGAAACTCATCATTGAGATATGATACCGCTACTTAAATCGTGAATAGACATATTTACGTGAAGTTGTTATGGTGGTCTCCCCCGGGAAGTATTCTCCTGATAGAGTGAAGCACGTTACCATGGTCCTTACTTAGATAGAAGGATTGACCCGTGACCGGGTTGTTGTCATGCCAGCTTACTGTAACAACCATTCCTCTATCGGCTGCCTTTTTGGCTAGGTAGGCCGTAATGTGGCGCCGGAAATCCCTCAAAGATCCAATATCAACCCCGAGTACTGCTGGGTATTCCCCGGTCATCGACTTAACGTCGCATAGTTCATCTGGCTGGTGATTATCTACCTGTTGTGTCTACACATATAAAAATAATAATGGTAAAAATAGCAGGAACGTTTTAGGAAATCTGAAATTTATTCATTGTAGGCATGACATAAAACGAGTTCTATTCTTATCAAAACAACAAGTTTACACAAAATCAAAACCAACAAAGCATGGCAAAAAGATGAGCAAAAGAAAGATTTACATAGAGACCTTTGAACAGACACGAAAAGAATAAGACAATCTGTTCCGGAAGAGTAAGCGCCTTCTGCTTCATCGAAGACACCCGTATGTAAATGTTAATATTGTACAAGGAAATGGAATCTCCCCTATGAGGTCGTGATGGCGACCATGTAACTGTTACCGTAGAGGAATTCCAGGGATGCAGGTTGATGGGGACTGTCAGATTTTATCTGTCAGTTAACGATGTAGTATTTAAAAAAAAACAAGTCGTGATAATCGATGTATTTCAAAAGTTTTTGGACGATCTACCAGTCAAACCCGAAAGATGATGTCATTATAAAGTCATGTACATAAGTGTGTCATTTTGGATTCACAAATTAAGATAAAGTCTATGGTCCACAAATATAATTTGTACAGCCGAACGTCAGTGATGCTACATCATACAGCTGTTTCGTCCATCTAGGACTCGTCAGTGATGCTACATCATACAGCTGTTTCGTCCATCTAGGACTCGTCAGTGATGCTACAGCATACAGCTGTTTCGTCCATGTAGAACTCGTCAGTGATGTTACATCATACAGCTGTTCCGTCCATCTAGGACTCGTCAGTGATGCTACATCATACAGCTGTTTCGTCCATCTAGGACTCGTCAGTGATGTTACATCATACAGCTGTTCCGTCCATCTAGGACTCGTCAGTGATGCTACATCATACAGCTGTTCCGTCCATCTAGGACTCGTCAGTGATGCTACATCATACAGCTGTTTCGTCCATCTAGGACTCGTCAGTGATGCTACATCATACAACTGTTCCGTCCATCTAGGACTCGTCAGTGATGCTACATCATACAGCTGTTTCGTCCATCTAGGACTCGTCAGTGATGCTACATCATACAGCTGTTCCGTCCTCCTTCTAGGACCAACATCTTTAACATTTGAAGCCACTGAAAGAGATCATCATAAACGTCCCCAATTTGTAATGACGCATTATAATAGTATAGACAACTAGATTTGTACATCTAAAGAGGCATCTTTGGATTTCGAAACAACAACATATCAAAAGAATTTAACTTATATATTCAAATTCGATGAAACAAGGAAAAAATATTAACAAATAATAAGCAAAAGATTTACAGGAAGACTACTGAAAAAATACAAGGAGAATAAGGTTCCGGAAAGGTATACTGCTTCATCGAAGATGACTGTCATGTCATGTACCCAAAATGAGAACAATGTAAACATCGGCGACCAGGCACCCACCACGTCTAACTTCACACCTTACTAGATTAGTTACCAATTCTATCTTTATTACGTCTGTAACAATTTCCCATAATCCATCAGTAGGAATATACCATGGAATAATCGTGTATGACGTTAGCATCAAAAGCTATGACGTGGACTGTAAACCATCATGGAACGGACGCATATATATTGTGTACCGGATAGGAAAAACAGTGATAAGGACACGTTAACATGACCCTGGCATTGTTTTCCATGGTAAAAGCTACTTATTACAAGGCAATCCATGGCAGTACAAGTGAAACATACTTTATATTGTTACAGAAAACACGCTGAGTAACCAGTTTATGTATACCGAGAAACTCCAGCCGCGTGCGCCGTCCTGTCTGGCTGAAAGCACTTGGTAAGGAATATGGCCGCCTTGTGCTCCGTTGCCTGTAGCCATTTGCTGTCCAAACATGATTTGTCGACTATGTTGTAATGTCGCCATTTTGCTGTACATGTAACTCGTCTCTGTTGTAAGATGGCTGTCCACTGTGCTGGAGGATACCACCGTTACCATGGCAACAATAGGAAAATAAACCGCCAAAATATTGGTCATGTTGTTATCGGATCTAAAGTAAAATAAAAACTCGACAGTTTGAAGAGATATCAACATAAAAAGCTTTTACATTACACAAGTCTATTACCAAAGTTTAATAGTTGAGAATTAAATATGCGACCGATCAATATAAACAGGCTTGATTCCATACTGGCGTTTCAATCGCAGTGCTGCGATTTGTTATATCACACTGAACGAGATAAAACCGTGTGTTTTCACCATGGAATCACTGACTTTAGATATGTAACATTTAAGCTTATCAAATACGTTGTCATTCTTAGGACTGGGAATAAAATGGAACACGAACAATTTGTTGAGTAACGGAATGTATGCCAGACCGTTATCTATGTTGTTATATCTTTAACCATGAAGACTTAACACTAAGAACTGAGTCAGTATATATAGGTTACAATATAATGACGATGTTTATGCTGGAAACAAGACACAAAGTTACAAATAGCATTTACCAGTACCTGTCTAGTTGTGATTTCCATGAAATTCTGTGGTGTGTTATTGTTCACACAGCTTGCTCTGCTGATAAGCTCGCGTGTATTGATATAAAAATGGTGTCAAATTAGAAAACACGTTAGAAAAATTCACAAAAAATACAACTTTTAAATCTCTTAAATTTTACGAAAATTCTACCGTGACATCCATGACTTGTAAGCACGCAAGGTTTTAATGTTACAGGTTTCCTTTTGAATCCGATTTTCTCGTGTACTACGGTATTCAATTCAGAATGATAGGGTAGCTCAAGTCAAATAAATCCCCAACAAAACGTTCGAAGTTAAATCAAAGTACTGAAAGTACTGGTATGCTAAGACCATTAGAAAATAAATTCTTTGTTATTAGCTTGCTATATACTGAAACCAATTATATGCAAGCAGTAAATCATTGCAGCCCATAAAAAATTACCAGCAGATATCAGAAATAACAAGCATAGTAGTATTACTTATGTAATACATGTCCCAAGTAGGCTCCAAGATGCAATGATAGGGAAGTTGTCCATTTCTTTGGATACATTTTAGGAAATGTTGATCTTGGACACCATATTATCACTTTAAAGACGGCGTATCTTATTGGTTTAAGACCATTAGTTAGACCATCATGCAAATAACATGCTACATACAAATATTGGGCAGCTTCATTTTCCAGATTGTCTGTAAATGACTGCATAAGAGTGCCAATTTTCTAAAACAAATATGATATGTCACCATATCTTAAAATAAAAGATGCCTGTTCTTTCGGAACACCTGGTCTTATTCTCCTTGTACTTTTTCTGGGAATCTTTGAGTAGATATTGTCTTTGTTTCAATTTTACACTTGTTTTGCTGGTTCTACAATTCTGTTGACATGTTTATATATTCTTTGTTCTCTAAAACTTGTCGCAAGATATTTTATTCCTCTTGTATTAAAATTTTTACATACTAACAGTGACCTTGAACCTTGAAATTTGCAAGATGTGAATATCTTTTAGGTTGTGAAATTTGATAGAAAAATGAGGGTAATGCAAAGAACACCCCCATGCATCTATCCGTTTTTTGACTGTGACCTTGATCTTTGACATCTGACCCTGAATTTCTAAAGAAACCGACTTCTCATAAGGGATACATGTTCCAAATTTGATTAAGGTATACTGTCTTAGTCTCAATGCGTTTACAAGGTAATCATATAGTACTTATGCAAGTACTGTGACCTCTACATTCAATCCTCAAAATCATTACTATATCCTCTCCACATTGCCCAGGGTTAACTGAAACTGTAATCCAAATGATAACTTAATACCCCCAACACCTTTTGACCTTTTGCACAGAAACATCCTCTGAAACACAGCGGCATGTGCACGTTCCCCAACATTCCTGCAAAGTTTTGTTGAAATTGGTCCACAGGTTTAGAAGTTGACCGACGAGCAAAACACGTCTATATTGACCAGTTGCCATGGCAATCGATATTTCGAGGGAAAATGGTGCATGCACATCTACACATTGTCCCGAATATTACTGAAAAGTTTCATTGGAGTTGTCCAGACAAGATGTGTCTACAGACAGACAAACAGATGGACGGATAGACAACCTGATTCCAGTTTACCAACCCTTTTGGTGGTATAAGAATGCACAAGAGTGCTTACAAATTCCATGTGGACAGACATTATGGAAAAATAATAACAATAATAAAAAAACATGATACAGATGCTTATATCTTGTTTTATTCAGTTTTTAGATACAGTATTCTTTCCATACTTTGATCAGCAATGTAATCTTGTCATGTCAATATCCTAGTACAAGATTGCATACACAAAATTGTTGTAGGTAGACTTTTAAGATACTTTTAAGTACTGTGACCTTAAAAGGCAACATGGTTGTTAGCATCTCCTCAAGTGATTAATCATCTTCAACATCTAATTGGAGGCCGGAAAGAAGGACGTTTTTCTCCACCATAAGGTCCTCAAATCCATTGTTGGTCACCATGGCCAATTCCAACTTAGAAGAATCAATAGAGATACCTTCTACCATTCCAGATTTCATTTCTTCAGGGACATCCACTTGCTAAAAGAGAGTAAGGGAAATAAATAACTATATTTCATTATTGCTATGATTATGTGCAAGAAATAATCACTTCTGTATAAGCTTATAGTCTTCCCAATAGGAGTCTATATTAAATATACTGTAATTAATTACTTTGACGTTCAGGACTGTCAAATTATTAAGCGATGGACAGCTAGCAAAATGATAATATCTTGACCATGGTCATACAGAGATTGAATCATAAAATTAAATTTGTGTGATAAATCTGTGCAGTATGATAATTTATTTTGACGTTTGTATTTCAAAAAAATCATTTTGACTTGAAAAGTAATGTGTAATTTAATTAATTACATTGGACCGTCATGTAATGGTTATTTAATTATTTTGAAAATACCTGTAATGGCAATGCCATTTTCATAATGTAATTGTAATTTAATTAATTACAACATCATGTAATTGAACCCATGCCTGTTACAAACAGTAGCTGTCCTAACTGATCCTAAAATTAACTTTGACTACATCTATCACAAAATTAACTTTGGCTATGTCTATTACAAATGCCACATTTAGCTACAGTAGAGGTATTTCAAAAATGTACGTCATTGTAGCTGAAAGGACATAATTAATGGTTACTTAACCAGAACTACAGTTCTGAACAAACCACTACAAAGACTGGTTATCTGTACTAAGACAATGTCCTCTCAATTAATCAATTTCATTGATTATCAACATCTTATTGTTGTACTTCCGGTCACTTGAGTTTCTTAAAGTTTCAATTTGACTTTTAATAAGGCCCAATGTGATAATACTGCAATGTCTTAATAAGCTCTCGAGGGGTATTGGTTAGACTATTTATCCCATTTCATTCCATTCACCATGGAAACAAAACTCTAAAATGCTTAAAAACAGTCGACAATTAATGACAAGTTGACGCAGTTGACATAATACTGAAATTTCTGAGATGAACAAATACAGTACATATATTAAAAGTTCAGGCATAATAAGAATTGTACCAATGGGACCTAACACTTTGCTAGGTTTATCCTAATCTTCATTAAAACACTTTCCGGGATTCAGATGTTAATTGACATCTTCATTATTCCCAATCTTCATATTGTAATCGTTCACATGCATCACTCTTCAACAGAATCAACGAGACATCATGTCAGAAAGACAAAAACTAAATTTAAGCTAAAACTATATATATAAACTTCAATTGGCATAGCTGTAGAGTTCCCGTACGATTTCATACCCTGGACTTGGGGTACTTATAAATTATTTCCGATCAGAAATTTGAAATAGCTAGATCTACAATAGCACGGACAGTGACCGATATTTTAAAGTAAAATCGATATATTACACAGATAGATTCCTAGATCTATTCACGGTAGCGTAAGTAGTACAGTACAGTACAATATTACGGATAAGTTTTTTTCTGTTTAATTTCCGATCTGTTGGGCCACTCACGATCATTCAAAAATAAATTTATTTCAAAACACTGATATACTTTACGGAAGCAACAAAAATGTGCTAGATGCTTACATAACATTTTTCAAATGCATACTGCTTCAAAGGAAAAGTCTTGAAAATATTTTGAAAAAAGTGCCATGGCGGCAGTGCCCAGCTTGCGCGTCGCCGTCGAGCCTAAATTCAATACATGCGATAGCTCATTTCAAATGAGTATTTTGCAAAAAATGCAATTGCTAGTTCAGTATAAGTATTGACTTTAAATTCAGCTTATATATATATAGTGATACTTACTTACATCAAATACCCGCCATCTTCTTTCTGCCGCCGTCTTCTTTCAGGGTCCAGCAGCAAAGAGCACCCCGGCTGTTTCCGTCAAAGTTTTATGCTACTCTAAATCATTCTTATTTTAGTTTCATTCTTATTTTCAACTACATATGTCAGTATTTTCAAAAGTTTTCAACAGTATTAAACGGGATGAAAATTTTCGAAAAAGAAAAAAAAGAAAGATATATGACACCCACAATGCATCGCGCGGAAAAGAAAGTTAAGCCGCCATATTGGCATCGCCCCGCAAAATTTACCACCATAAAACGTGAGTCTTCGTCACTGTATTTACAAATTTCGATGTCTGATCATCATTAATACATAACACAAAACGTTTTCTTGATGTACAAGTAATGAAGAAAATGTCGATAAGGTTGTTTCATTTAATGACTAGGATCAGCAACTTGTAGGGGCGATAATCCAATGATTACGGTAATGTCCGGCAGATGGAGTAGGAGTAAACTTTCGATTTATGAACCAATGAAAACGAAGTACTGATAGTCAGGGCCAGGGGCGACAGCAACATGCTGAAGAGCACTGAAAATGCTCTTAGCATAAAAAGGAGGTACAAAGGTATTGGTCCTAAGAACTTTCGTTTTTAAGAAAGGTGAACGGCGGTACAAATACGATTGTAAATTGTATGGAAGCATTTTTGTAAGAAACAAATAAAATACAGTATAGAAAAAGAAGTATACAAAAGAGGAAGTTTTGGTGGGCAATAATTTCGTGAAGTTGGGTGGTGAGGTCTTAACACAGATTATAAGCTTATCATGGGAACAAAGTGTGTCCCTCTCCTGGCTGACTGGTTTTTGTTTTCAAAGCTGAATTTATCGAAGAGCTTATCAAAACCGGACACAAAGACGTTGCGAAGTCCATATATATTGATGACGTCTCGTTTTTTTTAAAAACAAGATTTGTAATGATCATACCCATCGTACATTCCTAACAGAATTGAAAGACACAACAGACTCCTCTACTTTGGCTGCTTACCTCGATCTTTCAACGATGAACATCTTTCCACAAAGCTGTATAGAGTAAGCTTGATGTTTGAAATTTTCCTTCTGTGAGAAGTTCCCATTTCTGAATAACAACATCCCTGCCCAATCTAGTGTGATAGTCACAGTTGATATTTTAGTGTATGTTCACAATGTCAGGATTCTGCCGGAAACTGCCAATTTCACATCACAGGGTTTGAGTGATGAAGATCATGTAAAAGATTTATTGTCGTAATAATGATCTTGTTAAGAAACATTGGGGTATTTTAGATATAAAGCTGGACTTGTATGATGCTTATTAGTTTGCCTGTAGTTCCTTTGTTGTGTACCTTGTTCTCATTTGAGAACGTGACATTATTTATTTGGATTGACCAAGGAGGAGAAGACCTTACGATTTTGGAACATCTGGTTATATCATTCTTGTACTATTTCAGGAGTCTCCGTGTAAATCTTTCTTTTATCCATATTTTGCACTAGTTTTTATAGAATTTGAGTTTGGATTATGATTTTGTTGACAAGTTGGTTATTATCGTTTTGCTTTTTGATATTTATCACACACACAGATGTGTGTGCTAATAAATATTTAAAAAAGTAAATTCATTGTGTAAATCGTTTTTCGGTTATAATGTATCTGATTCTGTATACACTTGTCTTTTGTATAACCTTTCAAAGGTAAGGGTCTTTTTCATCAACGACATCCATCAAGTAATTCTTTATACCTGTTTCAATATATAGACAAGTTTCAGTGATAGGTAAATAGATGGTATATTGAATGGTTGATAAATTGCCTCCCTGGAACAAACCAGTTAAAGAGAAAACACAAACTTTCCGTCAATCATGACAATAATATTTATTGTATCGCGCGAATCTGTTTCACAGTTGGTTACATGTAAATTTCAAACAACGGATAAAAACGTGACTGCCATCAACGATGGGGAAGCTGCGGTATGCAGTGGTGGTTGAAAAGTCTTCAGAAATTCTCTCAAACTTTTACAAGTAATTCACTTCTACAGTGTCAGGCATATTCCCGTTTCTTATTCACTATATATGCCTAACTTGAGTGGTTTTAAAACAGCTTTGGTCAATTGACTTTGCTTGTTGTAAGTTCTCATTAATACCCATGTCTTCACACTGGGCATTCTATATCAATAGATATGGTGAAGACTAAATGTTGCTAAATACATATGATTATAAATATGTGAAACCAGAACTGTATAAGTGGTTTGTAAAAAAGTGAGATAATTCTCTGGAAACTTGTCATGACAAAGCACTCTCAGAACTACAGTTTTGGTGTACAGTCTGTCCCAGAGGTGGTTCACAGATGGAACAAGCAGTAAAATGAAATATGATAATCACTTCTTTCCTAATTTACAAAATCAAACTTGTTTAAATGGAAATACTGAAGCACATTGAAAGTACAATACTCAGAGTGTGGAATTTTTGTCACATGAACTATTCAATATAATGTCATTTTGTTCTTAAGATTGAAATATAATCACAAAGTACAATAATTCATTATGTAATAATTAACTTACACGACTGCCAACAGCCAAAGGAATTGTACAATATTGCTTTCCTATTTCTATGACCTTTGACTCCACAAATGACCTTGAATAGGTGACCTTTACACTAAATTTTGCTTCTAAAGGTCCAACTTTATCTTACAATGGAAAGTCTGATGTTTTATAGTACATGTGTACATGTAAAAAGAACAATTTGTAGAAACACAAATGTACAACAATGATAAATGTCTAGCACTGAGGCCATCCCACTAATGTCACAAGCTTTTAAGCAATCATGAGATCAACAGAGATGAAGAATGTTTGTAACTCATCTTCAATGCATGGCTTTTAGATTCTACATGTACTCACAACAAAACAGCTGGTTTACACACAGAAACAAGTGGTTTACATACAGGCCTAGGATGACAATCACTGACCGGCTGAGATAATGTGAGTACCATCAAATGTTCACCACAGGAACATGTACCATCACCTATATAATGAGGTCATGATGCCAAAACAATCCAAAAAAAAACCCTGTGCTGGTATAGTTGTCCCCTCTTTATAACTTATCAATTCACAAATAAAGCTACATTTATCAATTAAAGCAACAAAGTTTAAGGTTAAGAATTGAAGATAATCAGAACTCGGGTGAACGTGATAATGGATTTTTAGGACATTCAATATTACCTTCTCCCCCTCCATCTTACAGACCGTCCAATACTGGGCACTAGTATGGACATATATAACCTGTGTGGATGTTACACTCCCTTATAGATATACCTTGTCAAGATCTGTATAAGAAACACAATTATAAACAAGCATATTTCACCCATACATTTCAATACAAGATATGCACAAAATATAGCTGACCTCTTGAGGTAAGTGGGTCACGATTCTAAATAATGATATAAGAGGCCATTATTAGTGACCTCTGGGTCATAAACAAAAACTTTGAAAGAATACCAGTACTTTGATCACCTAACTTTGTCTTAATCAACAAAATCTACCATAAAATATCCATGTAAGCAAAACAGTTATTTACACTACGATGCAATAATGGGCTAAGTAGCAAAAGGTAAGAAAATAAAAAAAAAAATATTGCAAATAAATAAACAAGAAACAACTTCAAAACCTCATTCATATATATATTCTACCACAAACCCTGGCTTCAACAATATACACCTGGAAAGACTTTGCATAAATATAACATATGTTCACACAAAAAAGCAGAGAAGCTGTCAATATTTTGCAGATTTCATGAGTGATTTAATCTCATTTTATCATAATTTATATAGGATTTGTACATCTGTTTTTCTTCTGAATTTAAAGTGTGCACATCATAATCACTATATGCAAGGGAGGTAACTCCAATGTAACACTCTGGTTACCTATACAATTACTATCTGTGTACAGTTAATGAATCACATTGTTGTACTGGCTTCTTGGCACTAATATTGTTTTTGTTAAAGATTGCTGGTCTGACTAGACATTTATAAAGTTTGAGGTATCTCTGAGCAGCCTTCAACAAACTTTTCCAGGCTGTTGTGAGGAGAAAATGGTGTCTAGGACAAGCCACATTTAACACTTACAATTGCATAAACCACAACCACTTAAAACCAATTTTGGGAGAGGAAAATAATCAGAACTGTACAAAAGCATTTGTACAAGTCAATGTTATATTGGTGACGCTAGAACTCCCTAACTTATCAAGTGGAGTATGATTGATGTAACAACTTGTCGAAATCATCTTCAATATAAAATACAATGTTTTAATTCAATGCATTTGTTCAGTAGATGATGGTTCCTTAATTCATCAAATGAAATTCTTCTTCCCTATAGTAACATCAATATCCTTTCTAAGAATTTTCAGTACATTTATATATACATTAAACTGTAAGCTGACATACAAATAGCCTAACTGATTTTCTTAATCATAATAAACATGATTTATATATTTTCAAGTCTTCAAGTGTCTAGTATTAATATCCTGTTTCCATTTTTTCTTGCCATGTCGATTAAGTGTATCAAAGCCAAAGAGAATTCAGTGTCATCAATGACATCAGTTTACACATTCCACAGTGCTTCTTTTCCACTAGTTTTTCATGTACAGAACACAATAACGTGCCCAAAAGATTGCGTGCATTTCTAACACATATAACCAATCAACACATACATTTCAACGAAGTGGGAGACAACAGAGAACATGTGTCATGTCTAACAACGAGGATTCTCAAGCCCAAGTTAATCTAACATCAGCCAATAGTTATAGCATTTGATACAAAGTATGCGGAGAGGACTGTGTTATATTTTGTACATGGACACTAAGGAAGCACTGGACAATGTGTATTCTTTCTACAATGTTCTCTTCTACATCTGTCTCTAGTTTAACTAGATGTTATAGCTAAACTGCTGCTACAGACCTGTTCCAAGTAGCACTCAAACATCATACAACTTTTGTTTTTAGAAAACAACTGTTGTTGTAAAATATTTCAATAGGAACGTACAAATCTGTAAGAGAAGTTATCTATGTCAACATGTGCCACCTTCTTACTCTAAACAGGTCTACCCCAGCTACAAACTTTCCAAACACCAACACCAAAACTTTCAACTCTTATAAACCTATCCATTTCTTGTATATGTCAGGGATTTGTCCTGTCATAGCCTCCTTCTTTACACTACACATTTGAAAGTAAATAGTAAGGGTGACTGTTTCTCTTTTAAAAGGATATGAAATCCTTTTTTCAGCAATGAAATTTGCTCCTTAAAACTGATGAAATCGACAAATACCTCTGCAAATTTTGAAATAATCTTTCCATTACCATAGGAAATAGTCTAACTTGAAGTCCTACAGCTTGTGGGTCACCTTCTCCAGTGTACTATAATTAATACAATTAGATAACATTATGTAGTTAATGTAGGGTATACAGCATATATCACATAATGGTAAATTGCCGCAGTCGGACTGAGTGTTGTAAGTAGCCCTCTATAAAGACATACTGGTCAAATAATGATCCATCCAATATATAGATATCATATACAAATCACCACAGCTTTATACATCACAAAATTTGCATGGTATTTTAAACACAAATGAAATAATTGGCTGTTTAAGGATAATTTCTGTCTCTTATTACCAATTTAATATAGATGTAAAACTTTTCCCAAACTGTCTTGATAATCAGACTTCAATCAGTGGCCGAAGCCTTTTCCCGGTAATTACTTTTAGCTGTGATAACTTTTTATATCATCAGTTTTGTTAAATGATATAACACGTCAAAGTTGTCCAAAAACAGCCACAGTACTATGTATAATACATTAAAAAAAAGGATTAAATATAGCAACAATATACAATGCTTGTGGCAGGGATTGCCTAAAAAGCTCCACATATCATTACAATGGTAACATGATATTGCAAAGTAACACATGGCAGTGTACAGTCTCTCCCCTAAATCTTATCAACCCAACACATGTCTCTCTGTGATTAATGGAAGAGATGATAAAGACATGACAAAAGTGTCACAGAAAACATCTGTCTTGATCTATTGTAAGTAAAATAAAGAAAGTCACAAGATCTGTATCTGTCCAGTCACAACTTATCTTTACACTACACAAGCACAAACAGAAGCAGACTTTTTTCATTTCACATTGCAAAGCATTATGGGAAAAATTCAGCAAAACTTTACATTGTCTGTAAACTTCTATTTGTACACATGAAGAAGTCTTTTAGAAGAAAAATACATTTCTTTGCTTGCTTCCATAGAATTATTTTCGAGCGATAAAAATTTGTACAGAAATATGTTGAGAACCTCAAATAAATTACCATTCAAAGTTTTCTAACCTGACCCCAGTGTAAAGACAAATGGCAGATGAACAGATACGTTTTCTAGGTAGTATACTAACACACTTCTGTCCTGACAATAAAACAATACAATTCATGCAGCCAGACTGAGATGGAATGCAGTTAAAAATTGTTTGGTGTATGACAATCATCTACAATAATTCTAAGTGTGTGTTGCCACGGTAACAAACTTATGATGTCGCCATGGCGATGAGGCAGGTGTTCCTTGTGCCTGTGTAAGACATGTAATGATGAGACGAGATGCCATCACTGCCTAAATCTGATGTGGTACCATCTCCTGAAACAGCATCAATAACACTCTAAGTGTACAAACAGAAAAAGAGACAAGACATATTTAACCCCTTCACCTATCACTCCAAAAATTGAAACAACATTCATTGTCTCATGATGAGGACAAAGTATACCCAAGTATGATTGCAAATTATCAAATTGACCTTCTGACAATATGTACTGATTTACTTGAGATGACCTTTTAAACATCTCTGAAGATAGTTCAGGATTGTATGGAGTAAAAGGTTGATGTATCCCTTTGATAACCATTGACGAAAAAAGTAAACCTCAATCAAAAATCACAGTCGCAAAGTTTTTAACATTTTACAAAATAAGTCACTCACCAGACATCTATGCATGAGGCTCAGCTTTAGCTGGCACCACCATACCACCCCCGCGGATAGCTGCTTGAGCAGAGGATCCACCTGGTGGGTGTCCGGGGCGAATGGGTTTGGCTGAAACATAAGAATATTTGAAGTTATATATATTTTGTATAAAAGTGACACTTATGACACAGGCATGCATTAACGTTTTATGTAACATTAAATTATTGACTTTGTATCATAGGGATACAAATAATATTTACAGGTGTGTCGATTACGACATCTACTGACGACAACTAAATCTGAAACAGTGAAACATGATCATAGTGACGACAAAACATGGCAAATATTTTCATTACTCACAATCAGAAATTGACAGCATACTAAATCTGGTCTCAGTGATCCACAATAGAGAGTAGTCTGCTGTATATTTAATGGATGAACATATTTCTATATAAACTCACCTATCTGGGCTGCATGGCCTCTCCTAGCCAGATTCTTCTGTCGGACAGCTTCTTTAATTCTGTCCACTTCATGCTGATATCTGTGATTGCAAAATAAGTCAATTAAAATCATTGTTAACAAATCAAAACATTTAAATGAAGCAATCAATCATTCTTGTGCAAAACCACTGGAAAAAAACCCCATGAATTCAGAATGTGTGTAATGATAAATGTTGATGGCTTCTGTAAAACATTCTTAAAGCATTTCATGACAAGTATTTTGTTTAGGATCCAGAGGAAATAATTGGCTTGAATGTTTTTTGTTTTACAATACAATATAATGAATTATTATATAGTAAATACAATATAATACACTTTTGAAAAGGGCTGCTTTCGTTTTTGCAGAAAAAGGTTTGTTCATATCTTAAATGTAACATTTCAGGCATAAAATTGAGACGGGAGTACAGATTCTACACCGGGCCTCAAAAGGCTTTGTCAAAGCTTGGTATAAAGCAAAATACCATCAATATGTTGAGAGCGACTCAAGCCTTTCTAGTGCCTACATCTACAATATACTGGAATAATTCATATTGTTTCTAGTTGTATAAGCTGTTTTTTTAATTTGGAATGTGTGCATAAATCTGATTTTTCACAGACACACCTGATTTATTAACTATTGTTTTACGTCCTATCAACATTCAGGGACATTTAAGGATGTGCCAGGTTTGAGTGGTGGAGGAAAGCCGGAGTTCCCGGAGAAAAACCAACTACCTCCCGCCAGAAACCTGACAACTGCCTCATGTAGGTCTCAAACCCCTAACCCAGAGATGGAGGGCCAGTTGAAAAAACAGTTAAACATCTTAACCACTCAACCACCACAGCCCCTTGAGACTCGCATCAATATCTCGTTTTCAACAATTGTACAGGAAGAAGAAGGCTATTATTTCACCATCTACAATGATAGATGTCTACATATGCAGACAAAACCTGAGTTGTATGACAACAAATAAGGCAACAGGGTTTCAATATGTTGATGGAAGATTCTGTATAATAAATTGTGATATACAAATATCAATAAAACAGTGAAAATAGAGGAAATTTTAGGAATTTACACATTCAGTAAATGACAAAAAAGGATCAGTATACAAATAATTGTCATGAAACTTCTAGGTTGATGAGTCTGATAATGTATGTAAAAACATGCTAACAAAGCTGAAACAAAACAAGGAAAAGCTTAGGTATATCTTGTAAAGCACAAGGCTGGCAGCACCTTCTCGCACAAAAACTAAATGACACATGCTCAGGTAGATGTGCTGGGATCCCCACAGCGTACACTACAGGCAGAACTGTGCAATCTAAAACAAAATCCTGTGAATCTATAAACATTGTACATGGATCATCTACAGCACCACACCTAAGCCTCAAGATTTACTCTGAATTATTTTAGGGATCTAACTTTAATAACACTATACTCCCTGTACTACGACTAAATTCATGTATTACTGCCTCCCTGTGTTATAGTACTGATATCTCCCTGTGTTATAGTACTGATATCTCCCTGTGTTATAGTACTGATATCTCCCTGTGTTATAGTACTGATATCTCCCTGTGTTATAGTACTGATATCTCCCTGTGTTATAGTACTGATATCTCCCTGTGTTATAGAACTGATATCTCCCTGTGTTGTAGTACTGATATCTCCCTGTGTTATAGAACTGATATCTCCCTGTGTTGTAGTACTGATATCTCCCTGTGTTATAGTACTGATATCTCCCTGTGTTATAGTACTGATATCTCCCTGTGTTATAGTACTGATATCTCCCTGTGTTATAGTACTGATATCTCCATGTGTTATAGTACTGATATCTCCCTGTGTTATAGAACTGATATCTCCCTGTGTTGTAGTACTGATATCTCCCTGTCTTATAGTACTGATATCTCCCTGTGTTATAGAACTGATATCTCCATGTGTTATAGTACTGATATCTCCCTGTGTTATAGTACTGATATCTCCCTGTGTTATAGTACTGATATCTCCCTGTGTTATAGAACTGATATCTCCCTGTGTTGTAGTACTGATATCTCCCTGTGTTGTAGTACTGATATCTCCCTGTGTTATAGTACTGATATCTCCCTGTGTTATAGAACTGATATCTCCCTGTGTTATAGAACTGATATCTCCCTGTGTTATAGAACTGATATCTCCATGTGTTATAGTACTGATATCTCCCTGTGTTATAGTACTGATATCTCCCTGTGTTATAGTACTGATATCTCCCTGTGTTATAGTACTGATATCTCCCTGTGTTATAGAACTGATATCTCCCTGTGTTGTAGTACTGATATCTCCCTGTGTTATAGTACTGATATCTCCCTGTGTTATAGAACTGATATCTCCCTGTGTTATAGAACTGATATCTCCATGTGTTATAGTACTGATATCTCCCTGTGTTATAGTACTGATATCTCCCTGTGTTATAGTACTGATATCTCCCTGTGTTATAGTACTGATATCTCCCTGTGTTATAGAACTGATATCTCCATGTGTTATAGTACTGATATCTCCCTGTGTTATAGTACTGATATCTCCCTGTGTTATAGTACTGATATCTCCCTGTGTTATAGTACTGATATCTCCATGTGTTATAGAACTGATATCTCCCTGTGTTATAGAACTGATATCTCCCTGTGTTATAGAACTGATATCTCCCTGTGTTATAGAACTGATATCTCCCTGTGTTGTAGTACTGATATCTCCCTGTGTTATAGTACTGATATCTCCCTGTGTTGTAGTACTGATATCTCCCTGTGTTATAGAACTGATATCTCCCTGTGTTATAGAACTGATATCTCCCTGTGTTGTAGTACTGATATCTCCCTGTGTTATAGTACTGATATCTCCCTGTGTTGTAGTACTGATATCTCCCTGTGTTATAGAACTGATATCTCCCTGTGTTATAGAACTGATATCTCCCTGTGTTGTAGTACTGATATCTCCCTGTGTTATAGTACTGATATCTCCCTGTGTTGTAGTACTGATATCTCCCTGTGTTATAGTACTGATATCTCCCTGTGTTATAGAACTGATATCTCCATGTGTTATAGTACTGATATCTCCCTGTGTTATAGTACTGATATCTCCCTGTGTTATAGAACTGATATCTCCCTGTGTTATAAAACTGATATCTCCCTGTGTTATAGTACTATCTATTTGTGCTACTACAAACTTTTTGTGTGCTATAGTTCTAACTATCTTCCTGGAGAACTGTCTCTCTCTGTACTATAGTAGAAACTGCTTTCTTATGAATATTTATTACATGTTTAAACAAATACCTTTGTTATGTTACTGCACATCATCCATACAAGTAAACGTCAGAGGATGTGATTTAGATCTTTAATTACAGTTAGAGGATGTGATTTAGATCTTTAATCACAGTTAGAGGATGTGATTTAGTTCTGTAATTACAGTTAGAGGATGTGATTTAGTTCTGTAATTACAGTTAGAGGATGTGATTTAGTTCTGTAATTTCAGTTAGAGGCTGTGATTTAGTTCTGTAATTACAGTTAGAGGATGTGATTTAGTTCTGTAATTACAGTTAGAGGATGTGATTTAGTTCTGTAATTACAGTTAGAGGATGTGATTTAGATCTTTAATTACAGTTAAAGGATCTGATTAAGTTCTTTAATTACAGTTAGAGGATGTGATTTAGTTCTTCAATTACAGTTAGAGGATGTGATTTAGTTCTTCAATTACAGTTAGAGGATGTGATTTAGTTCTTCAATTACAGTTAGAGGATGTGATTTAGTTCTTTAATTACAGTTAGAGGATGTGATTTAGTTCTTTAATTACAGTTAGAGGATGTGATTTAGTTCTTTAATTACAGTTAGAGGCTGTGATTTAGTTCTGTAATTACAGTTAGAGGATGTGATTTAGTTCTTCAATTACAGTTAGAGGATGTGATTAAGTTCTTCAATTACAGTTAGAGGATGTGATTTAGTTCTTCAATTACAGTTAGAGGATGTGATTTAGTTCTTTAATTACAGTTAGAGGATGTGATTTAGTTCTGTAATTACAGTTAGAGGATGTGATTTAGTTCTGTAATTTCAGTTAGAGGCTGTGATTTAGTTCTGTAATTACAGTTAGAGGATGTGATTTAGTTCTGTAATTACAGTTAGAGGATGTGATTTAGTTCTGTAATTACAGTTAGAGGATGTGATTTAGATCTTTAATTACAGTTAAAGGATCTGATTAAGTTCTTTAATTACAGTTAGAGGATGTGATTTAGTTCTTCAATTACAGTTAGAGGATGTGATTTAGTTCTTCAATTACAGTTAGAGGATGTGATTTAGTTCTTTAATTACAGTTAGAGGATGTGATTTAGTTCTTTAATTACAGTTAGAGGATGTGATTTAGTTCTTTAATTACAGTTAGAGGATGTGATTTAGTTCTTTAATTACAGTTAGAGGCTGTGATTTAGTTCTGTAATTACAGTTAGAGGATGTGATTTAGTTCTTCAATTACAGTTAGAGGATGTGATTAAGTTCTTCAATTACAGTTAGAGGATGTGATTTAGTTCTTCAATTACAGTTAGAGGATGTGATTTAGTTCTTTAATTACAGTTAGAGGATGTGATTAAGTTCTTTAATTACAGTTAGAGGATGTGATTTAATTCTTTAATTACAGTTAGAGGAAGTAATATAGGTCTTTAATTACTGTCAGAAGATGTGATTTTGTTCTTTAATTACAATTTAGAGAACACGACTTTGTTCCTTTACTATCCAGTATTTATATTGAATTTCAGAGTGTGTGGTCTTGTAGAATATACATGTACAAAAATACACAACATGACAGTGAGGAGAAGAGAGATGGGGAGGAGATACTTTCGGATAAGTTGTAAGGCCACAGTGGTGAGGACAGTCGGTGTCCAAGGAAGGAGGGAAGACTGGGATAAACCCAGTCTGTCGCCGTCCGTAAAAAGGCACTAGTTCCAGGCTCCGAGTATCCTTAACATGTTGTCTCATACTGGCAATGAGAAAACAACACAAGTTCTTCAACCTCCACTTGATGTCAGGCCTTGTGTTCCCTATCATCTATTTTCCAGTAAACCTTTTTCACTGTCACTAATCATCATGTCTCTCACTAATCTACGTTTCTTTCACATTGTCACTTTCCTCTACCTCTTTCCTACGTATTTCCTCACCCCATTCACTTTGTTGTACATTTCCACCTTTTACTACTGTCCTTCAACTTTTTTCTTTTTGTCATATCCTCTACACTTACATAAACTTGTTATTCTCCTCCATCTTTCCTCTCCCTGTCCTTCTCCTCTGTGTTGTTACTCTCATTTTCACCTCCTCCACTATAAATATATTTTCCCTTTTTATACACTCCTATACACCTCACATCTCACTCCTCTTTACTTCCTCCTCCTCATTGTCACTTTCATCATAAACCCATCTGCTTCTCATCCTCCTCTACACTTCAAATCCTGTTCTACATGATCTTCTACCACTTTCTATACCTCCTCATACTTCCCGTTCTTCTCTCACTCTCTTGTACTAATTGTCTCCCCTTAATTGTTCTTTGCCATGGTAAACATGGTTTTAAAATTCTTTTACAATCTCCAATTGTGATTTCTCAATGTTCTTCTCCTGAAAATTCTTACCTCACCTAAAGCAATTCTCAATTAGTAGTTACTGTTTTTTCCCCGACACTTCATATATATAAGAACTTTTGAATTGCCATCTACCTTTCCTATTGTAGTTTGTAGTTTGGATGACGTTTCTATCAAAATGAAAAATCTTTGATATTAAACAATAATATCTATGAAAATAGATAAATTAATTCTTGTAATAACTTAATGAAAAAACTTTATATTGAAGGTACACCCAGGTGTAAAAAAAAAAATACTAAAAAAGATGATTTATCTGAATTCTAGGGAACAGCTTTGCTGAACCAGATACCCAGTTGTTTAACAACAGATCTGGCAATAATTTTTTTTTTATTTCTGTCAAGTTAATGTTGGTCAAAATCTATCAACGTTGGCATTTTTATCAGGCTACGACTCTGGAAAATTCTGTTTAGTGTGAAAGAAAAACATTTATTTTGAAATAAAAGAAACAGAAACCAAAGTGACACTTGCCAAGGATCTACTACCGGATAAAGGCTTTGGAGACAAAAGTGGAGAATTTCAGAGGAGTCAGCCCTGATTTGGACTGGTTGTCATGAGAACGCTGACAGGTGGAGATAATCTCTTACTATAATAGAAGTTGGTTAGATTACCAAGCTACTGACACAATTCATACAGATATACAGCTGCTGTGGCACAAACACAAACACAGATGTCTTTAGGCACAAACACACAAGAAATCGTCATAACGTCACCAACAAACTATGTGCAGAGAAGCCAGCCAATGTTAAAGTGAGGTGCTATAGTACAACATGTATCTAAGTCAGCATACTGATTATTGCTGTAAGCATGAAGCAGTTTTCAGAAGCCATCAACATTCATAGGCACATATTGTTTCCTTCATCCAATTATACACCTATATATATATATATTAGACAAAATGTGAATTATGATCTTCACATCTTTAAGGGAGAAATTTTCACATCATCTTCTGTTATACAAATATGCTGACATATCTATATATCCTTCCTCATCACAAATGTCATCAAGTCTATAATCTTATAGGAAAATATGAAGACATCTTCAAATGTTTTATAGACATTCGTAATTATAAATATCCACTTCCCTAGACATGTTTTAACATTTGGAACTTATTCTGACCATTTGTGTAGACATTTATAAATACATATCCACTTACAATGACTTGTTCTAAACATCATGACAAACATATTATTATCAAAACTTCTCCTGTGTAAGATATTATCCTACAGTCAAACCTTGTTATCTCTAGCTCAAGATAATAGTATCCGCTATTCAATTTAAATGAGTTTGAATGTTGTGTGTAAAGTTAGGCAGTAACTGACGAAATAGTTTGAAGTAAACAGGATCATCGAGTTCTAGATAACAAGGTGTGACTGTATATGTGTTAGTTGCTAAAAGTCCAATACATCTCTACTACCTCCATGTTACCATTACCATTACCTTTATAAACAGAGGCCATTCTATCTATGGTGCCTCTGAGAAACATAATTAACAAGTAATCACATGATCACAGAGAATGTGGAAATGACAGTAGAATCTGCTTGACAATGCTTACCGTTTACGATCACGCATGGCACCCTCTTTAGCCTCCTTGAGAGCTGTCTCCAGAGATTTGACACGATCCATAGTTGCACGCAGCCTCTTCTCCAGTTTTGGAAGTTCACAGCGCAGGTCAGCATTATCACGCACCAGCTATATGGGTAGAGTAATCATGAACCAGTGTGACAAGTGTGACTATATATTTGACTGAGACAGATGAAAACTATCAGCAGTTTGTGAATATTGCTAACAGTCAACATAAAAACAAACAAAAAACAGTCAGCAACATAACCATGCAAGATTATTTCTAAGCAAAAGAGAATGCTATTTTCCAGAATTATGTTTATCCTATTTGAAAATACCAAGTACCAAACAAACATCATACAGTATTATGAAATATTCCTATAAGAAATTTGAAGAATAAAATCTTGAAATGTTGATAGATCACACATCTACCCACCTGCTTGTGGACCTTGGTCAGCTGTTCTAAGTTGTTCTCCAGGAAAGAGATTTTCTGTTTCTGGGCGGCATTTCCACCCACATCTTCTTCCTCCTCGTCTTCCTTCTTATTGGCTGACTGTTAACGTAATCAACATTCACCATACAAATTAATCATCACTGTCTTAGTATCATAGCAACGAATATACAAACTGATATATTTGATAGTCTACCATGGCAACAAACATCTACATAAATATTCCTTTTACAGAAATAAGATACATTCATAACTTTTGCTCAAATTCATTTTATCAATGAAAACACTGTTAATAATTACTCTAACCTGTTAATTCACAGAGCACAATGATCACAATTACAAAGAATTCCTAATGCCAATATTTTCACAAATTACTCAATTTCATATTACCTATTATCATATTGATACTTTTAAAAATTGAAATATTTCAGAAAAAATATCAAAACAAAACAATCACACACTAACTAGTAGAATAGAAAAAAAACATAACAAAACAAAACAAATCCTAGTGGCCTTGTTGGTCACCTGAGATCAGCAATATTGATTATAAAGGTTGTAGAATAAGTAGCTTTCAAGTGTCATGAAAAAGAAATTGTGACATTGATGATATCAAGACTTAAGAGATGTTTTAATCCCTTGGAGGTCAGCCAGCATCAATATATGTATACCACCAAAACTGTTTGACTTTTCTAACAATTATTACCAATTTATTTCCAATAGAAAATTAACAACTTCATTCTCAAAAGTCCAATTTTCCTTAAACTTCATCCCCTCCCCATGGGGAAATGAAAGATCCCAAGGTCATAAAATTTACAATTTCAGCAAAGCACCTTAAGACCCTTCCATTCATGAATGGCATTCGATTCTACGATATCTGGGTTTTGAGAAGAAGATTATTTAAGTTAATTTGACCACTTTTGGCCCTGCCCATCAGGCCCAATAGGTGTGGGACCTTTAACCAGGAAAGATTTCTGCAAAATTTCACTGAAATCTATTAAGGAATTTTTGAGATAAAGTTGAAAATGATAAAAAATTTTTATGGATGCATGACGCATGATGCCAGACAAAAGGCAATCGCAATAGGTCCACATGAGACTTTGTCTCAGGTCGCCAGAAAACAAATGACTTTAGAAGGTTAGGATACCAACCACATGTATATATACCTGTAGGACTTGCTAGGTGTACAGCGGATTTATACATTTTCATTGAATCCACAATAAAAGCAGAGAGTTACATTTTCTCCCGGAGACTCAACAGAAATTGTGTTCCCCGGATAATTCTTAATTCAAATTAAAAAACAACTCCTGGTGTTAATTAGCCATAAACTTCCGGTGTCTGTAGGGAATTACAATTTTTCTCTAATTTGACAAAAACCCAACAGTTTGACAGACAAAACATCCAAAAATCTAGCACATTTTTCTCTTTTGCTTCTCTCTCGTCTTAAAACTAGAAAATGTGATCACAAAGAACTGAGAAGAAATAAAGTGAAATAACAGAGTTGAGCAGTGTAAGGAACTGAGACAAAACTCACAACAAATATATATGTAAAGTAAAATATAGACCACTTCAAAAAGAAAGTGAACAGAGATGTAACTTGTATGATATTCATTACTGTCAACAGATCAATTATTTCTGGTTAACTCTGAAATCTAGTTAACAACAAGCTACCGGGTGTTCTGGATCTGTAACACCTTATACACTATATCAATGGATTTTTCCAAGTTTTTAGTCATTCATCTTATTAAATCCTGTACACATAAAGATCCCGTAAAAACTGTCACACTTTTAACAATCTTTTGTCTTGTAAGGCAATAAATCTATCTGGTTTAAGCATTACAGAAGATACATTTAGTTCATTTCCAAATACTAAATAAATTTCATTTTAAACAGAAAGTGATGTACCATGTATTATCAAAAGGAGCTATGATGTATAAAGCAAAATTTCAGTATTAGCATGTGAATAGTTTATAATCCCGGAAGTAACACAAGCAAACATTGTTGAGAATACAACAGTATTTAATACTGGTGACCTATGTGACGAGTTACATCTCTGCGCCTTGAGACAAGACAACATCTACGGGGAGGAGAAATTGTGGGTTGTACCTCGTCAATGAGGGAGTCCCAGCCTGACATCACAGTGTTGTTGTTTTTACCCACCTTCTTAACCCGGTTCTGTAGGTCCTGCACGAACAGCTTCCGCAGATTGTGGAGTGTCTGCAATTCCTTGGCCTGGTAAAATTACAATCATATTAACATTTCTCTCATTAATTATATCTTATTGTAATGCTGTATTAATCACTTAAGTGGACAGATCAATTACTGTCTCCAGAAAGAAACCATTAAGTTCTGACCTTCACTTAAAGTTAAGAGTCATGTTCTAACATTCACTTAAAGTGTACCCTGAGAGTAATTTTATATTTAAATACAATGTTAAGAATGCCGTAAAAATAATAATGATGAAAACCCCGTCAAAATCCGTCGCCCCAGTGTCGAGTTATTAAAGCTCAAAGTTGTCAATTTTCACCTGTCCGCCCAGACCTAATCAGCCGAATCGTCATTTCCGCGGAATCGAGGCTCTTCTACTCGTGACGTCATAAGTTCAACAGAAATGGCAGTCAACATGACTGACAGTGACAACGACACCGCAACTGAGAGCGATTTGAGCATGAGTTTTGAGGAGTCTGATTATGGTGTGAATGATATGTCTGAAGACGGAATCCAGCCCTACCGATCTAAACTGGAATTACAAGACGATGTATCAAGTGAGGAGGAAAGTGACCCTTCGAAAAGTGACGATCGCTTGGGCAACATAGATTGGCACGTACTTCACTGGGTCTCACCAGTAGTCGTGATAGTAGTCGAACAGTGAATCGTCGTTTCAAAGAAATAAAATAGGGTGTGGTTTTGGACTAATTTTACTATCTTCAAGTCTCGATCAACAATTTCTGACGTCGGGAAATCGTGTTTGTGCAAGACCATGCATACATTCACGAGGTGTCGGGAATTTTCTTACCGAAGAAGTTTCATCCGAGGGGAATTTTTCTTTCCAGGTAGCACTATGGATATATATAGATAGGGTGTCAACAACCAATTATAACACCCTCCGCTGTGTTAATAATAAAAATTTGATGTTTTAGAAGTTTAAACAATTATTTGACTGGTTTTTACCCTAGCACTGGTACACGTCTGTTGTTAGCCGACAGGCGTGTTGCCTCACAGGTGTCACAATTGTTTTTTCCAGCCACAGAGGTGCTAATTACCTAACCTGGCACAGGTGTGATTATGAGTTTAGATGACATCTCTACACTGTGAACTGTGTTTTCAAATCAAGATTGGTGATCTTATTGTTATTTTTACGATCGCAAAATTAATAACTAAACAACATCGTCTACTGGAAGATCTAAAAACCAAATACACCTTATACAAACAACATACACACATAACCTATTCTATAAATTCTAATAATTCTATTCTATACTATATAATAGTAGTATGAAAATTCTCGGGGTGAAAATTCCCGTGACCCATTCACGACTAGGCCTTCTCCGAGTATTAGGCGTTCACGATTACGAAGGAATAATATTCCTATGACCGCCCAAGTCATAGGCTAGCCTATCAATTTAAAATGTTTAGTTGTAGAATTAATAACAAAATATCAACCTAACAAATATACTTTTATTTAATCAACAATCAGTTTTATTTATCGACGTCATGCATCGACACCCCATCCGTGTTAGTGTTCGGACAACCATACACACCGCTTCCCTCCTCGATAGGAAGCCATTTTAGCGGATTTAAGCGCTAATTCACCGACCCCTCGTTCACTACCTTAGATATTGCGAAGATGTGAAGTACTTTCACGTAAATAAACAAAGAAATTACCATGGAAAATCCCAAAATAGATCACAATCACATGTAGCACAGTAAAGACAATATGGCTGCATCAACAAAAGCGTTGAACTTATGACGTCACAGGTTTGGGTGCCCGAAAACGAGGTCAACGCCTCTCAGCCAAAGGTGTGTTTTTCAGAAAAGTCGCAATTTCTCAGTAACGGAACATTCCACGGCATTCTCGTTTTCGGCATAGTGTATTTTATGTGCAGAACTATTTTTCAAGGTCAACATAGCTGACCTCTCAGGGTACACTTTAAAGTTAGAGTCAAATTCTGACCTTCATTTAACGTTTGAGTCAAAATCTGACCCTCAATTAAAGTTAGAGTCAAATTCTGACCTTCACTTAACGTTTGAGTAAAAATCTGACCCTCAATTAAAGTTAGAGTCAAATTCTGACCTTCACTTAACGTTTGAGTCAAAATCTGACCCTCAATTAAAGTTAGAGTCAAATTCTGACCTTCACTTAACGTTTGAGTCAAAATCTGACCCTCAATTAAAGTTAGAGTCAAATTCTGATCTTCACTTAAAGTTAAATTCTGACTTTCATTAAAAGTTAGATTCATGTTCTGACTTTGACTAAAAGAAAGTGTGAGAAATAATAGCCTTGTGACTGAAAGTAAGATGGATAATCAAATAATGCAACATAAAAACCATATCAATTTCCACAACCTACTAGATATATAACCGAACTTGAGTCCAACATTTACTACATACCACAGTCTCTTCTAGACCCTTTAGGTCCTGCTTAGCCTGTTCACGTCGATCAAGCTGCAGAGACAGTTCAGCAAGCTTGGCTGACTTCTCCGACTCTTCCTGTTTCAGCTTGTCATAATCTGACTGTAACTTATCCAGGGCCAAAACAAGCTTCTGGTTTGTACTGCAAATAGAAACATCATTTCCAAAATAAGTTTAAGCCAATCTACATTTTATGAACACTTTCAATTACATCTCATTGCAAAAAATAATAATGATGAAGGCAAAAAACTGGGCATCAGGCAAATTCTATGTAAGTGGAAACCTTTGAGTAGAAAGGTTAATTTTCCAATAGTATTAAATTAAAATAATCAAACTCCTCTGGCACTTTTGCATGTTTGTGACGAATTTAAAAACAAAAAGCAGACACAATGACATACATTGTAATAGTTCGAAATTAAAAAAACTGCAAAAAGAATTTCACTTATATTTGTTCAAACAGAAAAAGGCAATAACTTACTCCTTCAAGGATTCAATGAGGGTTTGTTTGTCTGTAATCTCGTCCCGGAGAGAGTTAAGTTGCTTCTGGTGCTGAGCACGGTGCTTCTCCAGCTGTTTCTCCAAAGCATCTTTCATATCGTTGATTGACTGGACCTTGTCTGAGGCCTCCTTCTCTTTCTGGGATGCTGTACTAGATGCCATACGCTCTGTAACCAAACATACAGGTAGTCATACAGTATGTCAAGTACAAAAAAAGCCCATGAGTTTCTATAAAGTTATGAAATAAGTTTTAGAATTTTTCTTTCCAGCCAACAAACTGACACATTAGGATAAAAATTTCTGTGAAGTTTCATCATTCTTACCTGAAATGGAAACGCATGCTACTTATACCATAATATAGATCTGTAAGAAATGTTCTTTGCCCAATAATATATCCTGATGACATGAAGTGTCTTGGTCATCAATGTTACAACCATGGTTCTGCACAGTGTATCACCATCAGAGCTCAGTGACATGTATTGGGTGTTATTACATTTGTCTGGGTAGTTCTATGATTAATGAAGGACAGAAAACCCAACACAGAATATATGGTAAAATTTCAGAGTCAGAAATTCCAAAACTCTCACATGCGGGTTGAGATATCCTAGTCCACAAAACAGACAATGGTGGATGATTTTTCTCACAAATATGATATTTTAAGTTGAACCATATACATCACACTACATCAATGGCCCACGAATTCTCTGAATAGATGACACTATCACATTATGTAATGGTCATGATATACTGTAATGGTCATGATATACATGTATAATAATGCAGTCTTACTGTGAGTGTTAAGTTTATCAATAGAAGTGGGTGTGAGATGTCTTGTCACAGAAATATATCTCAAAAGTGTAGCAGAAGTGTGGAATTTTTATCTTTGAAGTATGGTAAATTCCTATCTATGACATGTGGCAAAAGTGTGAATTCCTACCTATGACATGTGGCAAAAGTGTGAATTCCTACCTATGACATGTGGCAAAAGTGTGGAATTCCTACCTATGACATGTGGCAAAAGTGTGAATTCCTACCTCTGACATGTGGCAAAAGTGTGAATTCCTACCTATGACATGTGGGAAAAGTGTGAATTCCTACCTCTGACATGTGGCAAAAGTGTGAATTCCTACCTATGACATGTGGTAAAAGTGTGATTTCCTACCTCTGACATGTGGTAAAAGTGTGAATTCCTACCTATGACATGTGGCAAAAGTGTGAATTCCTACCTATGACATGTGGTAAAAGTGTGGTATTCCTACCTATGACATGTGGTAAAAGTGTGGTATTCCTACCTATGACATGTGGTAAAAGTGTGAATTCCTACCTATGACATGTGGTAAAAGTGTGAATTCCTACCTATGACATGTGGTAAAATTGTGGAATTCCTACCTATGACATGTGGTAAAATTGTGGAATTCCTACCTGATGCTTTCAGGGCAGTGTATTCATCATTAAGGGTGTCGACTTGTTCCTCTAGCTGACGTTTTTTGAGGTCCATGTCACGTATAGTCTCATTCAGTGAACTCATCTTGGCCTCATGTTGTGAGATGAGGAGGCGACAGTCAGAGAGGTCCTTCTCTGCATGCTCAAGTTTCTTTTGGTTTTCGCTGTGGTTAGTTTCCAACTGCTCAGTACGTGTGACCAGAGTCTTTACCTCGGACTTCATCTTACTGATGTATAGGCGGGCCACAGTGAATTCCTCCTCAAGTTTCTCCGATGATGAAATATTTGGCTGAACACAAAAGAAGAAAAACTCTGAAGTATACAATAACATCTTGTGTCCTTTAACAAGCTTACCTGTCAAGGTGGAACAAGCTTACCTGTCAAGGTGGAACAAGCTTACCTGTCAAGGTGGAACAAGCTTACCTGTCAAGGTGGAACAAGCTTACCTGTCAAGGTGGAACAAGCTTACCTGTCAAGGTGGAACAAGCTTACCTGTCAAGGTGGAACAAGCTTACCTGTCAAGGTGGAACAAGCTTACCTGTCAAGGTGGAACAAGCTTACCTGTCAAGGTGGAACAAGCTTACCTGGTAACTAATACAATATGAAGTTCAGACTCATTTTAACTACCTTGATATTTTTTAAACAATGATTTGTCTGAAGCTATTTTTCTTGAATATGTGGAATTAAATGCATAAACCTATTCTTCAATCATTGGTTAACAAAATTTCTAAGTCTTAAAATGAAGGCCCAGTTAATTATGATACATTTACCTTTTATTTTCATTTTGTCTAGATCTAGTATCTTAATCAACGGCCATTTATTTACCAGTGGTCTATCAGTATTATGTAAACAAATGGGTTTCTCAGCATTTTAAATATCACAAATCACACATACATTAGGATAAACGAGCAAATATTAATACAGGCCTCAAAAGCCTTGGTCGAAGTTTGTCAGAAAGAAAACTGAGATAAGTAGGACCAAACCTATCTAAACAATGAACGTCCCTAATCCAACTGATTAACAAAAACTGTCCAGATCACCTCTCCTTTTATCAAATCTCAGCTTTATTTCAAAGGATGTTAGATATCAGTTATTATCAGAAGGCTATTTGTACAATTGTTGTAGTCCCATACCTTGGACTCTGCAGCATTTCCACCTACGATAGTTCCAATATCACCCAGGTCCTTGAGCAGGCTGGCCATCATCTCTGCTACACGTTTCTTCTGGTGTAGGGATGCATCTCTCTGACTATCCAGTTCTGTCTGGAGACTGTTCACTTGACTCTGAAAACAGCATATGTATTAAGATATAGAGTGACAGGGATTAGAGCCCTGTATAACAGCGTGTGTATTAAGATAGGGAGTGACAGGGATTAGAGCCCTGAATAACAGGGTGTGTATTAAGATAGGGAGTGACAGGGATTAGAGCCCTGTATAACAGCGTGTGTATTAAGATAGGGAGTGACAGGGATTAGAGCCCTGTATAACAGCGTGTGTATTAAGATAGGGAGTGACAGGGATTAGAGCCCTGAATAACAGGGTGTGTATTAAGATAGGGAGTGACAGGGATTAGAGCCCTGTATAACAGCGTGTGTATTAAGATAGGGAGTGACAGGGATTAGAGCCCTGTATTCAGGGTTCAGAGTAGTAAGGTTCTGACATTTCTGTTAATTATAGCTGGTCTTTTACACAGAAAGTCTAAACAATATGTCATTATAAAAACACTCTCAAGCTGATCAATTTTGTTGTGGCTGATCAAGAGACATGATTTATTCTGAAGTCAATAGGATAATCTCACTATATAATTAAGTGGGTGATACCCTTACATCCAAGATCTGAAAGGCACTACAAAGAATTGTAAACAAATCAACCATGACCAATGGGCAAAAAACCCCAGCCAAATGATTTGAAAGTTTCATCAAAATCTTTAAAGAAGCAAAGGCATCACAGTGCTGATAAAGATTTTCTTAACATGTTAACAGTGATTTTGGACATGACAATATAACTTTGGAATTTGAACTTAACCCAAGACATTATGGTCCTGAAAATGAAAACAAATCAACAAATATTAACTCAAATCAAGACCTTAATTTCATTATAAATAAAAAGAAAATTTATTATGTTTTTTTTTCTTACAAAATAAACACTAGATAAAAAAACTGTCACTGATTATTTCAAGCTGCAGAATAAATAAGAAGATGTAAGGAAAATAAGCAATATCAATTCCTACCTGGTTAGCACTCATTTCTTCCAGCAGGTTCTCGTACTCCTTGGACTTGAGTTCCACTTCCTGTGACTTCTGGTCATAGTTCATAGCCAACTCCTCCAAGGCCTGAAGAACCTCCTTAACTTCGTCCTTGGCTGAGTCATTATCGGTCTGGATACGCGACATGTCAACTTGTAACATATCAAGGTCACGCTTTCCCACAGCAATGAGCTCTTCCTGCTCCAACATTTGTTCCTTCAGTCGCTCAATCAACTGTGACTGGTTGTTTATTTCATCATCCTGAAATAATTAAATAACAACAAATATAGGATTATAATTTCTTCATCAAATCTCAAGACAAGAAATAAATTGTATCCTTCATATGAAATTGAGAGAATGTACACCACTTGAAATGGCAACTAATCTCTCACTATTTACAGCTGCAGTTCTTCTTCATTATCAACTATTGGTATCTACCTCAACATTAACTGTTGGTATCTACCTCAACATTAACTGTTCGTATCAACCACAACATTAACTGTTGGTATCTACCACAACATTAACCTCAACATTAACTATTGGTATCTACCTCAACATTAACTGTTCGTATCAAGCACAACATTAACTGTTGGTATCTACCTCAACATTAACTGTTGGTATCTACCACAACATTAACTGTTGGTATCTACCACAACATTAACTGTTGGTATCTACCTCAACATTAACTGTTGGTATCTACCTCAACATTAACTGTTCGTATCAACCACAACATTAACTGTTGGTATCTACCACAACATTAACCTCAACATTAACTATTGGTATCTACCTCAACATTAACTGTTGGTATCTACCTCAACATTAACTGTTGGTATCTACCTCAACATTAACTGTTGGTATCTACCTCAACATTAACTGTTGGTATCTACCACAACATTAACTGTTGGTATCTACCTCAACATTAACTGTTGGTATCTACCACAACATTAACTGTTGGTATCTACCACAACATTAACCACAACATTAACTGTTGATATCTACCACAACATTAACTGTTGGTATCTACCACAACATTAACTGTTGGTATCTACCTCAACATTAACTGTTGGTATCTACCTCAACATTAACTGTTGGTATCAACCACAACATAAACTGTTGGTATTAATCACAACATTAACTGTTGGTATCAACCACAACATTAACTGTTGGTATCTACCACAACATTAACCACAACATTAACTGTTGGTATCTACCTCATCATTAACTGTTGGTATTAACCACAACATTAACCACAACATTAACTGTTGGTATCTACCACAACATTAACTGTTGGTATCTACCACAACATTAACTGTTGGTATCAACCACAACATTAACTGTTGGTATCTACCACAACATTAACTGTTGGTATCTACCACAACCACAACATAAACTGTTGGTATTAATCACAACATTAACTGTTGGTATCAACCACAACATTAACCACAACATTAACTGTTGGTATCTACCACAACATTAACTGTTGGTATCAACCACAACATTAACTGTTGGTATCTACCACAACATTAACTGTTGGTATTAACCACAACATTAACTGTTGGTATTAACCACACCATTAAATGTTGGTATCTACCACAACATTATCTGTTGATATCAACCACAACATCAACCTCAACATTAACTGTTGGTATCAACCACAACATTAACTGTTGGTATCTACTTCAAGATTAACTGTTGGTATCAACCACAACATTAACTGTTGGTATTAACCACAACATTAACTGTTGGTATCTACCACAACATTATCTGTTGGTATCAACCACAACATCAATCTCAACATTAACTGTTGGTATCTACCACAACATTATCTGTTGGTATCAACCACAACATCAATCTCAACATTAACTGTTGGTATCAAGCACAACATTAACTGTTGGTATCTACCACAACATTAACTGTTGGTATTAACCACAACATTTACTGTTGGTATCAAGCACAACATTAACTGTTGGTATCAACCACAACATTAACTGTTGGTATCTACCACAACATTAACTGTTGGTATCAACCACAACATTAACAGTTGGTTTCTATGCCATCCTTAACTGTTGGTATCTACCTCTTCAAAGACTGTTCAATTGATAATTGATAATTCCCTGGCTATGAGTTAGATGTAATGCTTTGGACCCTTGGGGCTCTTTAATATGACCACCTCCAAATGTTGGTAGCCTGTGTTTATTGCATGATAACTATATTAACTTTTTTTTATCTTCTTCATCTTCTTATGTTTTATACTGTTTTAAAAGACCCACCTTATCATCTAGTTGCTGATAGAGTTTAAGACGCTCTGCCTCAAACTGGGCTTTGTCAGCATCACTAGTACTGGCGGACATGAGTTTTGCAATGTCATTCTTTGGTGCTGTGCTAGCCTCTGCCTCCTGAAGGGATGTGGTACTGGCTTTCATGTCAAACTGTTCATCCTGGGACACATTCTGGCCTGTAAAGATTGATCTCTGTCTTTATATCATGTAAGCATTTAAAGCATTCAGAAAGCAAGCATATAGAAATCATACAATGGATAACAAGGGCCGCCACTTCTAGTGAAAAGCTCTGGACAAAGTTATGACGGATAAACAGATAGACAAAGTGGCGACTATATGCTTTCCCTTTGGGAAGCATAAAAATCAATGAGAAAATTTGAAATACTAATTTCTGATAATGTGCTTAATTCAGCACAATCAAATTTTAGCATATTATCACGTTTATGAATATTAATGCAATGATGAATTAGTGCACCAAACATAATGGCTATATATAAATAATATAAAGAAACAATAATAAGGGCAAATATATTTTAGCACAAATTAAAAATTAGATTAATGCTGAAAATGTACATTGGACTTAAAAGTACATCTAACATGTACCCAGGCTAAGCTGTGTAATTAGATATTAAATACTTACCAGAACGCCACATCTGTAGCTCAGCTTCAAACTTGGCAAGAACACCTTTAAGTCTAGCATTTCTCTCCTTCTCCTTCTCATATCTCCTCTTCCATTCCTCGGCAGTCAACTCTTCGTTCACAGAAACAACATTCTTGATGGTCTTTGCTCTAAATGGAATATAATTTGAAAATTTGTTATAATGTTTCATTACTATTTACATAAATGTCAGCATTTTCCTATTTTCTATCTGTGAACTGATATAACATTTAATCTAAAGCTACTATATAATTACCTTTGACCAAAGAGAAGTGTAGATTTAGTTTCTGCTTCATTATACGATGCTGGTGAACAGCAAATGACAACTGTGGTACGGGCGTTACCTCCCAAACTCTCCTGGAGGATCCTAGTCAATTTACTGTCACGGTACGGCACATGGCTTTTCTGTATAGATTCACACAACCAATGATAAGCAAATGTAGACGAAAGATTGGTGTATTATATATCAACTTGTGCACAGCAATGCCATTATATATATATATATACTAAAATGATGTTAATTTAAAGGACTAAAATGCCATAACAAGTATATACCTTATGTGATGTCATTAGTGCTGCCACAGAGACAGCAATGATAGACCATCAAAATGGCCATTCCATTTGAAGGAAAACATTGTAATTATTAAATTTATCTAGATATTAAGAAGAAATTTGAGGAACAAAACCTTTTCCTATCATCTGATCTAAATAACAATATCATGAACCACAATTTGCACCTTAGGTCTACAATTAAACAGTAATATTGATGACGACATATCACCAATAAAACTTCTCCCATGTTATCCTTTGTTTACCTCACAGAAGATTGGTATTGATGTAGGAAACATCAATATCATCACTGCAATGTCTTATGGCATTTACAGTCAGTATAAATGCCAGTGTCTTGCAGGTAAACGTATCATATATATTGTACACTACTGCATCCAATCTAATACCATCTAACCTCAATGAATACAAAAATAATAGCACTGCAGAGCTGTGATAGTGGGGGTATAAAATCAATAGCAAAGACAGAAGTTGGTGACAAAAAGATGTTTTTGTGAGTGACAAAAAGATGTTTTCAAGTCTCAATATTCATTTAAAGAGTAACATTCACATTTTTAAGATTTGGTGTTTAATTTTCATTTCCAGATCCATAAAGCCTCCAAAAACCTTTGGATACAACATTTCTATTCCATTTAATCCATTCAGAAGTATAGGATACATGCAAATTTTAAATGATTCCCATAATCAGCAATTCCTTACTAAACAAAAATTGTTCTTTATTAAAAAAATGTATTTGCTTCAAATGTTTAATATTTTCATTTTCATTTGTTGAGCATGAACTCAAAAATTTTCACAATCAAAACAGATATGCACAAAAGTTAATTATGCTAATTGTCCTGACAAATCTCCTCCTTCATCAGCACTGACCTGTTCATCAGCCAGGGCTGCAATCACGTTACCCAGAGCTGACAGGGACTTGTTGATGTTCTTTGCCTCGTCCAGCACTGCTCCCTCAGCTCCAGTCTTACTGACCTGTCAGCACAAATATTTACATTATTTGAGAAACATCATAAGCCATCTTCTGAATTTGTCACACTGCACATTGTCTCAGCATGACTCATGTATACACAAAGTTTTACTATCCTAGTTTAAATGAAAGCAAACTTATTCTAAGAACATTAATTTTCATAAAAGGAAGTAAATCTGGAATTATGGAGTTGTGGGGTTGTGGGTTGTGGGAATTTGGTACACAGACAGACAGATGGTGGGACAGAGGGAGGGATGGATGGTGGGACAGAGGGACGGATGGATGGTGGGACAGAGGGATAGAGGGACAGACAAAGTGGCCACTATAAAAATGTATGTGTTCATAGTATAATCTGAGCATAGAACTGTGTGAGAAGATATGGTTCAGACAATTAAAGGTTATTGAATGGACAATCTTGTGGATGTCCCCATATCTTGATAAGCATACAACGCAACAATCAATACATTGAATATGTGTAATTTATCTAATGTAATTTTCAAGAGAATAGATATGAAATTTTGTTACTGAAGAGAAAGTATTGTTTTCTGTATCAGACTACAGATCACCTTTCCCATACCAGTGAGGTTTACAAGGTATAGAACTAAAGTCCTTTTTAGTTCTAGGCCATTTTCTTACCTTCTCACTACCAGCCAGATTTACTAAGCATAGTGCCAAATTTACTTTTGTTTTGGGTTATTTTCTTACCTTCTCACTACCAGCCAGATCTACAAGGTATAGTGCCAAATTTACTTTTGTTTTGGGTTTTTTTCTTACCTCCACACTACCAGCCAGATCTACTAAGCATAGTGCCAAATTTACTTTTGTTTTGGGTTATTTTCTTACCTTCTCACTACCAGCCAGATCTACAAGGTATAGTGCCAAATTTACTTTTGTTTTGGGTTTTTTTCTTACCTCCACACTACCAGCCAGATCTACTAAGCATAGTGCCAAATTTACTTTTGTTTTGGGTTATTTTCTTACCTTCTCACTACCAGCCAGATCTACAAGGTATAGTTTGCCATTAAGTTGTTTTTGGTTTTCTAGATGTTCTTGTTTTACGTTAATCAGGAATACGCTGTGGCTTCGAGAGCTGTGTTCATTCATGTCTACAAAAAAGAAGAACTCAGGTTAATAAGATCACTATGACAATGCACTTTTGTTTAATTTGAAAGTCAGTCTGGTCCATTCAGTAGTTAAATTTACAATTTTCATAAGGTCATTTTATATGCATGTCAATAACACCTGTTTCATAATTCAGTAAAATATTTTCTAGTGTTTAAGCATTAAGCTTGTAAAATGTTGAGTGGAGTACAAAGGAATTTCCTCACATTTACAAAAATCTCTCATCTACAAAATACAAAAACCTCACATCTACACAATACAAAAATCTCACATCTACACAATACAAAAATCTCACATCTACACAATACAAAAATGACCTACTTGTCACAGCAACATGTCGGTTTGATTTGCCTTCATCTATGGCTTCCATCACCTCGTCTGGACTGGACACAAACCTCTCTGTTGCACCCTGTCAAACAAAACAAGATTCTTTAATTTTCCTGTCTCACTCCAAACTGTGTAAAACCCTCCTTACTTTAAATCATATAAATTAAAACCTGCCTCATAGACCATCTCGCTAGAAAAGTCACTTTCCCTACACCTTTGTGTGGCCTTTATAGAGAGGTTTGATTACAGGTATCTATTCCAGCTATATCACTTTCCCTACACCTGTGTGTGGCCTTTATAGAGAGGTTTGACTGGTCTGTTGTAATTCTTTATCATAAAGACAAGGAATCCCTTCCTATGAATGTATTTAGGTATACTCATCATAACATCAGATTCTAGGTATTTATTCCAGCTATATCACTTTCCCTACACCTGTGTGTGGCCTTTATAGAGAGGTTTGACTGGTCTGTTGTAATTCTTTATCATAAAGACAAGGAATCCCTTCCTATGAATGTATTTAGGTATACTCATCATAACATCAGATTCTAGGTATTTATTCCAGCTATATCACTTTCCTTACACCTGTGTGTGGCCTTTATAGAGAGGTTTGATTACAGGTATTTATTCCAGCTATATCACTTTCCTTACACCTGTGTGTGGCCTTTATAGAGAGGTTTGATTACAGGTATTTATTCCAGCTATATCACTTTCCTTACACCTGTGTGTGGCCTTTATAGAGAGGTTTGACTACAGGTATTTATTCCAGCTATATCACTTTCCTTACACCTGTGTGTGGCCTTTATAGAGAGGTTTGATTACAGGTATTTATTCCAGCTATATCACTTTCCTTACACCTGTGTGTGGCCTTTATAGAGAGGTTTGATTACAGGTATTTATTCCAGCTATATCACTTTCCCTACACCTGTGTGTGGCCTTTATAGAGAGGTTTGATTACAGGTATCTATTCCAGCTATATCACTTTCCTTACACCTGTGTGTGGCCTTTATAGAGAGGTTTGATTACAGGTATCTATTCCAGCTATATCACTTTCCCTACACCTGTGTGTGGCCTTTATAGAGAGGTTTGATTACAGGTATTTATTCCAGCTATATCACTTTCCTTACACCTGTGTGTGGCCTTTATAGAGAGGTTTGATTACAGGTATCTATTCCAGCTACAGTCGAACTTCGTTAACTGGAACTCGGAAAACTCGAAGACCCCGTTTAACTCGAAGCACTTTGTCGGTCCCGGCAAAATCTTCTCTTTATTCTAGTAATCAAAACTCGGAAAACTCGAATTCGGAAAACTCGAAAAACTCTGTTAATTCGAAGTAAAAATTTGGTCCCAACAACAAAACATATACTGAATATGATCGGAAAACTCGAAGTATAAATTTTGTGCCGGTCAATTACATTGCTGATGCGCTACGCCGTTTTGCAATTTTACCGACAATAGGCTTTACAAGTGAATATTAATGAACAATACTGTAATTAACAATATTCATGTTTTAGAAAAGTGTTTATTGTTATTTAATTGAATGATAAAAGGTAACCGTTAGATCTTATAATTGATAGATATCGGCGATAAAAAGTGAAGTTCTACTCACATTGCGTAATTTCCGTGTCTGTCAGCCATAACAAACACCGACCTGTGTATACACTCAGTGAAGCGGAACTAAGCTATAGAAAACAATCACAACACTGGCCCGGTACTAGGCTTAATGTTTTTACAGGAGTACGCATGAAACGGTCACCTGTGCTCAATTAAACTGACAAATGAGTGAAACAATTATTTAATTAGCGTCGAAGTACTTAGGGCAGAATTAGAGACCCGACCAAACAAGTCCGCTCAAATACAGACTCTCCTCAGGATCTCGGACGATCTCATTCGCGAGGACCTCAGAGCCCAGACCAATACCAGGACTCAATCAAAGATATCAGACTACTTCAGTGACTTTGCGTGTCAACGAAACAGTGAACATTGATAGTGATCGATAGTGTTAAGACTTTACGAACTGGAACTTGGTGTGCTTTCGCAAATAATGTATGACAATGGTGTTTTAATTATGGCCTTAAATTCGAAGACTAGTGCTTATAATGAATGTTCATTTACTTACAGTGCTTTGTAAGTCGACAGGTGTTATCGTAACTAACATGTTGTGTACATGCATACTCTTTAATATAATCTTCCTAGTGTACGCGCCAAATCAGTAATGTTGAGTAACATTTGTTGCACATGCGCAACGGAAGTTTATGTATGTTATCGAAGCAGGAGAGTTCTCATAGTCGGTCATATGTAGTGCTGTTTAGAATGATATCGTAAGTTTTTCACATTGTATGTGTTTCTTAAAATGTTAGATTTGGTTCTATTTTGTTTGTATTATGTGTTTAATTAATGTCAAATTATTAAATTGTGAATGTTGATTTCCGTATCATCGTTATTTATGTAGCCTAGACTCGTGTTGACATGTAGGCTAATCTAGTTCTCGTTAATTAAAAAGGACTGACAGAACGAAATTGATGGTTTCTAAATAATAAGCAAACTGCACCTAATTTAATTATCAATTCTGGTTTTTCAACGATCAAGAACAAAATATGTTTGCTTATTACCGGAATCTACATCAAGCTCGTATATAGCCAAAAAGTGACAAAAAGTACAAGGAACGTCAGGAACATTAAAAATCTTTGCATCAAAACTCATGAACTCGGCTATCTCGAAGACTCAGATAACTCGAAGTATTTTCGTGGTCCCATCGACTTCGAGTTAACGAGGTTTGACTGTATATCACTTTCCTTACACCTGTGTGTGGCCTTTATAGAGAGGTTTGATTACAGGTATTTATTCCAGCTATATCACTTTCCTTACACCTGAGAGAGGCGGTTCTAGAGAGGGTTGATTACAGGTATTTATTCCAGCTATATCACTTTCCTTACACCTGTGTGTGGCCTTTATAGAAAGGTTTGATTACAGGTATTTATTCCAGCTATATCACTTTCCTTACACCTGTGTGTGGCCTTTATAGAGAGGTTTGATTACAGGTATTTATTCCAGCTATATCACTTTCCTTACACCTGTGTGTGGCCTTTATAGAGAGGTTTGATTACAGGTATTTATTCCAGCTATATCACTTTCCTTACACCTGTGTGTGGCCTTTATAGAGAGGTTTGATTACAGGTATTTATTCCAGCTATATCACTTTCCTTACACCTGTGTGTGGCCTTTATAGAGAGGTTTGATTACAGGTATTTATTCCAGCTATATCACTTTCCTTACACCTGTGTGTGGCCTTTATAGAGAGGTTTGATTACAGGTATTTATTCCAGCTATATCACTTTCCTTACACCTGTGTGTGGCCTTTATAGAAAGGTTTGATTACAGGTATTTATTCCAGCTATATCACTTTCCTTACACCTGTGTGTGGCCTTTATAGAGAGGTTTGACTACAGGTATCTATTCCAGCTATATCACTTTCCTTACACCTGTGTGTGGCCTTTATAGAGAGGTTTGATTACAGGTATTTATTCCAGCTATATCACTTTCCTTACACCTGTGTGTGGCCTTTATAGAGAGGTTTGATTACAGGTATTTATTCCAGCTATATCACTTTCCTTACACCTGTGTGTGGCCTTTATAGAGAGGTTTGATTACAGGTATCTATTCCAGCTATATCACTTTCCTTACACCTGTGTGTGGCATAGTAAGAGGTTTATAGAGAGGTTTGATTACAGGTATTTATTCCAGCTATATCACTTTCCTTACACCTGTGTGTGGCCTTTATAGAGAGGTTTGATTACAGGTATTTATTCCAGCTATACATAAGCTTTGTCTAGCACTTACCTTAACAAAGGGCACTCTGTTCTTGTCTTCATGTACAGCTAAGTTGGTCTTTGAAACTGTAAGAGTATAACAACTTTTAATGTAACCATCACTTCGATTTTAACTTTATTCTAATATGTTCTAACATATTTCATCAGTAGTTACCACTTTACCAAATTTGCCCCAATAAGTGATTATTTTGTAATATGCCCACACAGTATGTTGCTGTTGAATAAAATCATAGGCCAATGTTTCACTGTCCTGAAATAAGCCCACCTCTGACTTCGAGTAAGACATAATTAGCTTGGTATTGCATGATAAACATTGCATTAACTAGTCCGATAAAAATTGCAATATAAGGGAAACAATGAGCATAAAAATTTTGACGGGGAGGGAGGGGGTGTTTAAAGAGACACTGTTATAAGTCCAAGTGACAATTTATTTTATAAATATTGTGTCTTTCATATACAGATGCATTCCTATGAATGCATTGCCATTAACAGGGTGACTTGATGAAGGCACTTATACTTACTATCCAGCAGATCCCTAATCTTGTCCATGTATATCTCAAAGTATGACACCTGCAATGTACAATTAATAATTCACAAAAAAGATAAAACAGTAATTAATTTCAACATGATTTTTAATGAATTTTCATTCTGTTTGTGTTCAACAAATTTATGTAATGATTGCTAATTCTTCTTCATTGACAGTGTTAAGTCACATGAAAATCACATACCTGTTACAGTACAGTGAAACCCACTTAATGTCATGTCTGTTAATGTCACTATCCAGTTAATATCAGGTTTTTTGAAATGCCAATGCATAATACAATATCAGATAATGCCACTTATTTTCATGTGGGCAACACTTAATATCATTTCATTTTACAGATTATCACAAAAAAAAAAATTACACATATATATATAGAGAGAGAGAGAGATTTACAGTGTATTGATATAGATATTTACAGTGTAATGATATAGAGATGTACAGTGTACTGATGTAGATATTTACAGTGTACTGATGTAGAGATTTACAGTGTACTGATATAGAGATTTACAGTGTACTGATGTAGAGATGTACAGTGTACTGATGTAGAGATTTACAGTGTACTGATATAGAGATTTACAGTATACTGATGTAGAGATGTACAGTGTACTGACATTCTACTGATAGAGAGATTTACAGTCTACTGATAGAGAGATTTACAGTAAACTGATGTAGAGATGTACAGTGTATTGATATAGAGATTTACAGTCTGATATAGAGATTTACAGTCTACTGATAGAGAGATTTACAGTCTACTGATGTAGAGATGTACAGTGTACTGATATAGAGATTTACAGTATACTGATGTAGAGATGTACAGTGTACTGATATAGAGATTTACAGTCTGATATAGAGATTTACAGTCTACTGATAGAGAGATTTACAGTCTACTGATAGAGAGATTTACAGTCTACTGATGTAGAGATGTACAGTGTACTGACATTCTACTGATAGAGAGATTTACAGTCTACTGATAGAGAGATTTACAGTAAACTGATGTAGAGATGTACAGTGTATTGATATAGATATTTACAGTCTACTGATATAGAGATTTACAGTGTACTGATAGAGAGATGTACAGTGTACTGATATAGAGATGTACAGTGTACTGATGTAGAGATTTACAGTGTACTGATATAGAGATTTACAGTATACTGATATAGAGATTTACAGTGTACTGATGTAGATATTTACAGTGTACTGATAGAGAGATTTACAGTGTACTGATGTAGATATTTACAGTGTACTGATATAGAGATGTACAGTGTACTGATGTAGAGATGTACAGTGTACTGATATAGAGATTTACAGTGTACTGATGTAGATATTTACAGTGTACTGATGTAGAGATTTACAGTGTACTGATATAGAGATTTACAGTGTACTGATGTAGAAATGTACAGTGTACTGATGTAGAGATGTACAGTGTACTGATGTAGAGATGTACAGTGTACTGATAGAGAGATTTACAGTGTACTGATATAGAGATTTACAGTGTACTGACGTAGAGATGTACAGTGTACAGATATAGAGATTTACAGTGTATTGATGTAGAGATTTACAGTCTACTGATATAGAGATTAACAGTGTACTGACGTAGAGATGTACAGTGTACTGATATAGAGATGTACAGTGTACTGATGTAGAGATGTACAGTGTACTGATATAGAGATTTACAGTGTATTGATGTAGAGATTTACAGTGTACTGAAATAGAGATGTACAGTGTATTGATATAGAGATTTACAGTGTACTGAAATAGAGATGTACAGTGTATTGATATAGAGATTTACAGTATACTGATGTAGAGATGTACAGTGTACTGATGTAAAGATTTACAGTGTACTGATGTAGAGATTTACAATATATTGATGTAGAGATTTACAGAGTATTGATATAAAGATGTACAGTGTATTGATGTAGAGATTTTTAGTGTATTGATATAGAGATTTACATTTACTGATGAAAAGTACCTTGATATGGAACTCCAGATTCTCGTCCATGCCATAGATGTAGTTGAATATGTCTTGTACAATCCTCGGAATGATTCCCTGCATGTGGTTATCCCCAATGACTCCCTGTAATACAGACAGATAATAAATACACTGTATTACAAAGTATATAAATGTATATTGTATAAAGAATTTATCAAGAAATGTATGTGATACAGTGTGTACAATGTATCACAAACTACAGAAAGATATTGTAATAAGTTAGGCATACATTTATTATCCCATCTTAGATAAATAGTTACAAAATTAATATATTTGTTATGTAAACAGATACAAATCTTTAAATAAACATATAATATAAAGGGCCATTTTACATTTAAAAAGTATAAAGAAAATGTTAATAATAATTCAATATATGAATGTTTGATAAATGGATATGTTTTAAGTTACAATTGGTATATGGGTATACGGATTGTAGTGACAGTATAATCCTACCATACTTTGGTAAAGCCTATTTTGGAACATTTTTTTCAGGTTGGTAACGTCACTAGAATAGATGTTTTGACACAACCAATAGAAGATTTGACGGTGACATTTAATGACTCCATGGTCACCTCCATCAGAACAATGACCAGTGTGGAGCATACTAACACTGACGTACGTAGTGTACAAGATCTACATGGTCACCTCCATCAGACAAATGACCAGTGTGGAGCATACTAACTCTGACGTACGTAGTGTACAATATCTACATGGTCACCTCCATCAGACAAATGACCAATGTGGAGTGTACTAACACTGACGTATGTAGTGTACAAGATCTACATGGTCACCTCCATCAAACAATTGACCAATGTGGAGTGTACTAGCACTAACATACGTAGTGTATGAGATCTACATGGTCACCTCCATCAGAACAATGACCAGTGTGAAGCTTTCTAGCACCGACGTACGTAATGTAGAGAAGGTACAGATTCTACTAACTTTTTCGGCTGTACTATAATCATATGTACAATATACATGTATGTACAATACTTCAATATTTCAGAGACGCTGTACATGTAGGTTGAATAAAGTGTCAGGAGAGAGACCAAAAACACATCAGATGTTAACAATGTGCTGTGGTTAGTTTGACTTGGTCATACATGTGTTGTCTACCATCTATTTTCAACCAAAGTGTACAGAATCTCTAAAATATTGAAGAGGCACTAACAGAGACCAGGAAGACCTTGTATATACACATGGACTTTCTCAGGAAAAGCAAAAACAAGAACTACTTCTTCAAGAGGGAAAGATCAATGATGTACAGACAGATGAAACATGGACAGAAGATGGGAGACAGCCCAGCATCTGATGATTCTTGACTTTAAAACGTTACTATATATTGACTTGTTCAGTGGTGTGTATACCAGCAATGCCTCACACAGATCATCATTGTCATGTTACAACCTATTGATTTCTCTACATTGTGTACTCATCATCACATTCATACTGCAACACAATGCTTGTTTGGTATACATGTAGCTTGTATTATCAGAGCAAAGCACTGAAACACATGTATCTTTATTCTATAACATAAACTGACATGATCCATGAATTCCCATCTTTTTTGTGCCAAAATTAAAGAACAAAGAACAAACCCATAATCGTTTTCTATAAGTTCCTTAATTAAAATTTTCCTCAAATTACAGACATGTTTGTTTTTGTCAATATATCAATATTATAATGATAAATAAAACTGAAGTGTGTGTTATATCTTTTCTTTTATTTGATTTTTCCTCACATTTTTTCACGGAGTAAATCCTTGTCATTCAATTGGCATGTAAATATCTTGCAATAGAATTTGAATCCTGGGACACAGAACCTATGTACAGCTATAATTTATTCAATTCACATGGATCAGGAAGTAATATAATTTGTGACAGCATGTTCTACATGTAAAATGCCAAGCATTATTTTAAATTGTGTTGTTAACATTTACTGAAGATAAAGATAAATCACCCCTAATGTCTTTATCAAGTCTGATTTAGAGATGACCTTTTATACACAAGAGCTTTGCATAATAATAGTCACTCAAATTGGAATTTATCTAATGTCGAAGACTTTGGCTTGAACTGAGAATACGAGTACCTGAAGCTAGGTGGTCAATATCTAATGCCATTTATACGATGCATTACGCAGAAACATCTCGATATTGAATGCACCAGTTTGCAGTGTACAGAATTTTATTCGTTAATCAATTTATTCTGAAGAACATGTAAAATACAATCTGCTGATAAAATGCTGTTCTAGACAACTCTCTTCCACAACCAGACATCTGTGACATGTCTGCGAAAAATATGATTACATAATTCCTAACAAATCACAGATATCAATCAATCAGCTCAGTAAATTCCTTAAACCTATAGCTATATCTCTTCAGACGTGCTGATCAATTTCCTAGAAATATCCTAGAATAATCCATATGATTATATATACACAAATCTATAGATTTCTGTAGGAATTTAATAATTTATATCTAGATCTGTGCATTATATAGCAACTACCTGAGTGGTGAAGAAATTGACTATCATGGTTAGAACATTTTTACCACTTAGTGTGAAAGATCACCAATTTGACCTGTTCTCACTATAATCTTAACACAATCTATTCACACTTTTTTTCATCTCAGTGTACATCAGATGATGTATAATACGGACAAAAAGTCCTTTGAAAATCTCTGACCTATGACTTCTAAAATTATTGCAACACATTTCCTTGGATTGCAGTTGGATGTCTGAAACAGATCTCTTAAACCACTGTAGTCAGGAGATGTCTAAAACAGATATCTTAAACCACTGTAGTCAGGAGATGTCTAAAATAGATATCTTAAACCACTGTAGTCAGGAGATGTCTAAAACAGATATCTTAAACCACTATAGTCAGGAGATGTCTAAAACAGATCTCTTAAACCATTGTAGTCAGGAGATGTCTAAAACAGATATCTTAAACCACTGTAGTCAAGCCATGTCTAAAATAGATATCTTAAACCACTGTAGTCAGGAGATGTCTAAAACAGATCACTTAAACCACTGTAGTCAGGAGATGTCTAAAACAGATATCTTAAACCACTGTAGTCAGGAGATGTCTAAAACAGATATCTTAAACCACTGTAGTCAGGAGATGTCTAAAACAGATATCTTAAACCACTGTAGTCAGGAGATGTCTAAAACAGATCTCTTAAACCACTGTAGTCAGGAGATGTCTAAAACAGATATCTTAAACCACTATAGTCAGGAGATGTCTAAAACAGATCTCTTAAACCATTGTAGTCAGGAGATGTCTAAAACAGATATCTTAAACCACTGCAGTCAAGCCATGTCTAAAACAGATATCTTAAACCACTATAGTCAGGAGATGTCTAAAACAAATATCTTAAACCACTGTAGTCAGGAGATGTCTAAAACAGATATCTTAAACCACTGTAGTCAGGAAATGTCTAAAACAGATCTCTTAAACCATTGTAGTCAGGAGATGTCTAAAACTGATCTCTTAAACCACCGTAGTCAGGAGATGTCTAAAACAGATATCTTAAACCACCGTAGTCAGGAGATGTCTAAAACAGATCTCTTAAACCATTGTAGTCAGGAGATGTCTAAAACAGATCTCTTAAACCACTGTAGTCAGGAGATGTCTAAAACAGATATATCTTAAACCACTGTAGTCAGGAGATGTCTAAAGTAGATATCTTAAACCACTGTAGTCAGGAGATGTCTAAAACAGATATCTTAAACCACTGTAGTCAGGAGATGTCTAAAACAGATATCTTAAACCACTGTAGTCAGGAGATGTCTAAAACAGATCTCTTAAACCATTGTAGTCAGGAGATGTCTAAAACAGATATCTTAAACCACTGTAGTCAGGAGATGTCTAAAACAGATATCTTAAACCACTGTAGTCAAGCCATGTCTAAAACAGATCTCTTAAACCACTGTAGTCAGGAGATGTCTAAAACAGATCTCTTAAACCACTGTAGTCAGGAGATGTCTAAAACAGATCTCTTAAACCACTGTAGTCAGGAGATGTCTAAAACAGATCTCTTAAACCACTGTAGTCAGGAGATGTCTAAAACAGATATCTTAAACCACTGTAGTCAGGAGATGTCTAAAACAGATATCTTAAACCACTGTAGTCAGGAGATGTCTAAAACAGATATCTTAAACCACTGTAGTCAGGAGATGTCTAAAACAGATCTCTTAAACCACTGTAGTCAAGCCATGTCTAAAACTGATCTCTTAAACCACTGCAGTCAGGAGATGTCTAAAACAGATGTCTTAAACCACTGTAGTCAAGCCATGTCTAAAACAGATGTCTTAAACCACTGTAGTCAAGCCATGTCTAAAACAGATCTCTTAAACCACTGTAGTCAGGAGATGTCTAAAACAGATATCTTAAACCACTGTAGTCAGGAGATGTCTAAAACAGATATCTTAAACCACTGTAGTCAGGAGATGTCTAAAACAGATATCTTAAACCATTGTAGTCAGGAGATGTCTAAAACAGATCTCTTAAACCACTGTAGTCAGGAGATGTCTAAAACAGATATCTTAAACCACTGTAGTCAGGAGATGTCTAAAACAGATATCTTAAACCACTGTAGTCAGGAGATGTCTAAAACAGATCTCTTAAACCACTGTAGTCAAGCCATGTCTAAAACTGATCTCTTAAACCACTGTAGTCAGGAGATGTCTAAAACTGATCTCTTAAACCACTGTAGTCAGGAGATGTCTAAAACAGATCTCTTAAACCACTGTAGTCAGGAGATGTCTAAAACAGATATCTTAAACCACTGTAGTCAAGCCATGTCTAAAACTGATCTCTTAAACCACTGTAGTCAGGAGATGTCTAAAACAGATCTCTTAAACCACTGTAGTCAGGAGATGTCTAAAACAGATATCTTAAACCACTGTAGTCAGGAGATGTCTAAAACAGATCTCTTGAAACATTGTTGTCAGGAGATGTCTAAAACAGATATCTTAAACCACTGTAGTCAGGAGATGTCTAAAACAGATATCTTAAACCACTGTAGTCAGGAGATGTCTAAAACAGATATCTTAAACCACTGTAGTCAGGAGATGTCTAAAATA